CATCCGGGTGCCTGCCGGACAAACATGGCATTCATATGATATTCAGGTACACATTCTATGTAGCCTATCACCCATTTGGTAATAGGACTGTATAGGACTACATGTATTAATATTATAAATACTATACACCACTACCGGATTACCTAAATCTTTGCATACAAGCAAAATTTCCTGCACTTTCTAACAAAAAAAATCTCAAGTAAACCTTCAATTCTTACACTGTGATTCACTGTAAACTATAGCAAACTGATGAGGACTCAAACACAGAGGCAGGCACAATGAAATCCTTACCCCAGTTATTCTGGGCCTGCACACAAACACTCGTCCAGCCAGGCTGTTCCCTGATCAGCAGCTTCGTTTCACCCACTCGACCAGCCTTGGAAGCTCCTCCGAAAAGCAGCAGCACCCCCGGGCCCAGCACAGCAGAGGCCATCCCAACGCCCTCCACGCCAGGCCCCTCAAGACCCTCCCGCAACAACTGCACCTTCAGGGCTTCAGGCCTCGACACAGGGGTCACACACGGAAGCCGAGACCCTGCTGATGGAAAGAGGAAACATTAAAGTCCATATTGCAGGGATTTTTGTTTCTTTTTTTAAACAGAGGCTCTTACTGGTCTTACCGAGCGGAGCAGCGATAAGTGACTGGCTTGGCAGGCAGCCCTTGGAAGCAGTGAGAATGAAGTAGTGCGAACATTTTTGATGCCACTCCTAAAAAATAAAAATGTAACTGAAATTAACAGAATCATGGCAAAAAGCAAGTAAGTTTCATATAGTATAAATACACGTCCTGTCTAATCTTAATGTAAATTTACTAGCATCTAAACAATGGTGTGGTTCTACTGTGGAATTTCAAACTACATTTATGTGTGTTTATTACAGGTGTAACTGCATGAAGACAGAGATGCTGGCGGTTTACAGTGTGGAGAGTGAGTGGGGGCCACATGTATAATGCCTCTCACTTCAAACTCATCAAACGGCTCCAGATTCTCCACTCTGTTCCTCTCCTTTTCTGGCACCAAGTCCAGATAGAAGTGGTTCATGTCCATACACATACAATGCTCCCAGCCCTGGGCACAAAATGCAAGGTGTCAGGACAGAAAGACAAACAGTGACACGTAGGTCCCAAGGTTACAGGTCTTTCTAATGTCTAGTGCACATTACCCTGTCCAAGAACCTTAATGTCTGCGCAGCCGGGTCCGGGTAGCGAATGAGTGCGTGCAGGGAAGAGTTCAGCTTCAGGAAGTGGTCCTGCATCACTCTCCCGAAGGGGTCATGTGGGCAGATCTGCTCGTACATCACAAAGAGCGACTGCGGAAAGAGCCGCGCAGCCCAGCTGATCATGGCGTCGGACCTGGGAGCCACACGAGGAGATTTCCTGATGTTATCAAAATGAACTGTACTGCAGCAGCTTCCTGGACATCCACATGTACAGAAGCAGAGTCAAAGCAGCAGAACACTACCAGAAGCTGAGAGCCCTGCTTTCCCACCCACCTTTCTGTGTCCATGTAAGTTAATACTACTTCTGACAGCAACAGTGTTGGGGTGCTCCACTCCACACCTGCCCGGCTCAGAGCCGCTTCCAGCTCTGTCTCATTCCGCATGTCGACACCCAGTAAGCGATACTGACTGCTGGACACTAACACTGTGGGGCATTAAAATTCTGTTTAATGTCTACATCCATAACAAGAGTCAGTACAACAGAATCAAATGGGTTATGTACTTTCTGTTAAATTCCATTAACAAATTAGTTAGCAAGACAACTTTGTACGGCTGTAAGACTCTCTAAAATACGACACATTATTTCTTTTGAAAAACACTGAGGCTTGCAGTGCCAGAGGGATATTCCACAAAGCAGAATTTCCCAGTTAACTGGATAACTTAAACCAAACATGAAAACTGTCCAGTAGGAAGAGAGGCAATTGACATTTCTATTAGATAATCCTTACATTCGGCTTAAGACATGTCATCTGGCTGGTGAATAAATCCTGCTTCGTGGAATACCCCCCAGGACTGTGCTGTACTGATGCCATGACTATGGTATCAGGTATCCAACAGGAATCAATGGCTTCAGTTTATATAGCATTAGTTACCAGTGTCTGCTGGCTGACTGGGGCTCCAGTCCACCAGTGACTCTTTCAGGAGATCAGTGCTGCTGATCAAGGCGGCTTTACGCTGCACAACTTCTGGGAAATCCACTTCGAACACCACCGCTGCTGACAACGCCCCCTCTGCATGCAGACGGAAGTACAGCGAGTCAAACCCCGCACCAAGAGACAGTACCTAAGAGACAGATCGATGATAAGCCTTATTATGTAGAACTTTTTTTTTTATTGTTGCTTAAGAGATGGATACAAATTCAGGAAATCCATCCATCCAAAAACACTTTCACTAAAGGTATTGACACTGTTCCTGCTGCACTCCGTAAGACAACCCGTACCTGTCTCTTGGGGCACTGCTCAGTTATGTGCAGAAACTGCTTCACACTGTGGTCTACAGCTTTCCAGCGCACATAATATCCTCTGATGAGAAACAAATGCAAACACTGTTCTGTTTATGTTCTGACAGTGTACTGCAATATATAATTAACTACAAAACTACTCAAATTGTTTTATGCTAAGAGAACATACAAAAGTTCTAATACAAGTTGCGTTGTAATCATGGCAATTTACATGCTTCAGACGTGCAAACATGACTCATTCATACATGCATGCTATATATATGTTTGTTATGGTATGCTAATTCCCTGCGGTGGGTATCTGCTGCTTGGTTACTCACCTGTTAATGAGCGGAGCTCTACGGGAGGCTTTAGACACAAAGCTTTTAAGGAAGCGGTCATGGAAATAGCCCTGTGTCGCAGCAGAGAGCTTACTAACCACGCTACTATCGTTTGTTCCCTGCACCTGAAGGAGAAAAGATTGGGACGTGTTATTACTTTGTTTCGTGTCGTCACGAAAAGTTAATAGTCAATCTAATACTGTCAAGGTAAACAAGAGATTCCACCGTCCGCTTCATAACTGGTTTAAAGATCTACTGTTTCAGGTATGTCTTTTATTTATGTGATACAACCTCAGCATAACTAAATCCTTGCATGGTTTAAATAGCAACTAGGCGTGCCAAGTTCTGTTAATATAAAATATGGGAAAATATACGAACTGCAGTACGCAGCTGACTTTGAACTATACTCACCGCAGTATCGCTCCCATGCTTCTTCCTCATGATGACATTAACGATGTGCCGGCGCTATTCCTTAATTTTTCATTTTCAGTCACTATTAGATTTTAGTTATGGTTTATTCGATTGTTCGATTAAAAACAGGGGAAATAAATTACGCTAATGCAGAGCATTAACCAAATCGCTTTTAACACGTTGTTTCATTGCACAACCCTTTACTTACAGAAAATGCTCATTTTGAAGTCGCACAGCGCTTCCTCGTGGCACGGAGTAAAATAGCTTTTTGTCTCCATTCAACCTTTATTTTAAAATAATACATTTAAGAAACGGCTATGTTACTCAGCATCTAACTTGATAAATCGTCACCTTATGCATCACAGCATTGCATCACATCACAAATATTGCAAAATTACCCAGATATTGCATGCTTTTTGTATTGATATTAATGCATCGTGTATTGCTTCAATGGATACATATTTCGTTTAAAATTATATGCGTATATTTACATCTATAGCATGTGGATAATAAAATGAATTCACATGAATTCACCTGACTAATGGTATGTGAGAAAATAAAATCAGGTTACGGGTTGGTTTAAGGAAGCCAAGGATGATTACTGCGCCTGCGCAGCTTTGCCGGAAGTGCCAGCAGCTCTACCGTATCCAGTCCGTATCGACGACGGCGACATAGAGGCGTGATAACGCTCTGAGGTCGCGACAGGCGCAGCGACGACTGGCATCAGGTAAATACTGCCGCCCTTCTAATCTTTGGCTTTATATCGCGACGACGATCAGCGGCTGTCAGTCACAACCTCCGAGTCAGGCCCTCACTTCTAGGTGGGGAGCCGCTGATTGGGCTTTTCCCGAAAACAAGTGAGGTTATGGTCAGGTTGGAGTCATTTTACGCTGGAAGTCGCTATACGGGCTTTTTCTAAATATGCTCCTGGCGAAGAAATATGACAGATAGCCGCCTGTGAATTAGCATGTTATCCAAGGTTAAGCGCTGGTAGCCCGGCGGAGATCTCGTTACATCACTGCTCGCTGTTTTTGTCTCTCACGTAGCAGGGACAGCCTGCGGTTAGCCGGGGGAGACATACTTTGGTTTTATTCACGTAGTTTATAGTTTAAGTGGGGATCCGACGGGGCACCCCCAGCGCACTCCATAGTTTTCAGACTCTGTATGTGTGTGGTTTTGACCTGGCAGTGACAAAGGACGAATTTGGACTACAGTAGCCGCATTGAAGTACATTGCTTGTTATTCTGCTTCGCAGGGTCCCTTTGACTTGCTAGTTACATATAAATTATAATGAATATAATATCATATGCATTGTATGCTAATACGTATTAGTAATACGCAACTAAAAGGTGAGATCTATCTTAAGGAATTACGGAAACATAACAAATACTGTAATGGCTAAGAGACTGGACCCAGATCTATAAATACATAGATATTTTTTACTTACAGACTAGCTTGCTTAAAGCGTGCCTTTACCTAAGGAAAGCACGGTTTATGAATTGACAAAGCTGCTTGTTTCATGCGCCAGTAAGGCATTTCACATGACAGTTTAGTTATTTCTCAGCCTGATCATAAAAGTTTTGAGAAATATTGTCCCGTGTTGTAATGTTTTAAGTTGAATATCTTTACGAATGTCAAATTTGTTACAGTTAAATATCTTGAAGTTTATGAAGTATATTATTGTAAAAAAAAAAAAATGCATGATTAAAAATCAAATAATATTTGGTACTCCAGTATGTATTCTGGTTCTTTCTGTGTACTAAGCTTGTTAAGAAGAATCTAAAACATGCAGTTAGTCAATCCTGGCAGCTGGGGCAGAATTTATTATTTTTTTGCTGACAACCCAACAAGACTCTGAGACTGCAGATACTATGTAACGCTTGCTTCATTACAAGCACAAGGAAATGTAATCATTAAGGAAGCTGAGGCAAAAATAAGACATTGTTGTTGTAAGTGTAAGATTCATGCCAAGATTGAGATGAGATGCAGTTCACGCCACTGGTGATATTTAGTACATGTTGTTGTTCTGTTTCATCCGCAAAGTGAAAGTTATCTTCTTGCAGAATTTGCATTATACTTTTTTTATGCACGATATGTAATTCAAGATTAGCCAAAAATACAAAATAAGAGGTGCTGAGGTAAGTTAAAATTATGGACTTAGAATGGGATGATATCGGTTGCAGGACCTAATTCTAGAACAAATGCATAAAGCATGTATTTACAATGAGAGATGCTGTACATTTACTAACGGGAATTGACTGACTCTATTCTTTTTTTCAGAATTGTTTAGGGTTTGCAATTGTTTGAAACTGTGGGATCCCCTCATTGACCTCCCACCCAGGAGGACTCCCGCTCATGGCCAGCAGGGGGAGTGCCAGGCCCAATGGCAGCCTGACCCAAACCAAAATATGTCAGTTCAAGTTGGTACTGCTTGGAGACATGGCGGTTGGCAAGTCCAGCCTTGTGCTGCGCTTTGTCAAGGGCCAGTTTGACGAGTTTCAGGAGACTACTATTGGAGGTGAGTGTGGTGACAAGCAGGTGTGGGGAAGAAGAACATGAGCGTGAGGGCTAATTACTGACAGTCATTTTTAGATTCTCGGTTTTTACGTTGAGAAATACAAAATGACACTAGAAGTTTTTCTAATAAATATCATTCATTTTAATTGATATTGTTGAATTTCATATGATGAGCTTTAAGGGTCTAAATGAAAAACTCCGGGACAAACACGACATGTCTCTCTACTTCTCCATTTCCTGCTTTTATAATGTTCCTGTCTGGCTTTCAGCTGCCTTTTTAGCACAGTCAGTGTGTTTAGACGACACAACAGTGAAGTTTGAGATTTGGGACACAGCGGGACAGGAGCGCTACCACAGCCTGGCCCCCATGTACTACCGCGGAGCGCAGGCGGCCATCGTGGTGTTTGACATCACCAAGCCGGTAAGATTGGGCTGCTAAGTGTACTGCCTCAAACTGTGCCTCAGCACTTTGCTGCACTGCCCTCTTAAATGATTGTTACTGTATGACAGTTTCAGCTAATATCAATGAACATTGTTCCTGTATAAAGTTCATTTCAAAGATTTAGTTTGCCATGTTTCTATTCTATTTTTTATTTAATTTCACGTCACCATGTACATTTCTGTGTCGCTATTCTTACATTGTACTCTTTCTCTGTTTCCTTTCTTGTTTCACATCCGCTCCCTACGATGTCATTCTTTCTTGCCACTTTACGCTTTTTGTCCTTCTCTCTGTGCATCCTCTCTCTACAGGAGACGTTTGAGCGAGCCAAAGCCTGGGTGAAGGAGCTGCAGAGGCAGGCCAGCCCCAACATCGTCATTGCCCTGGCGGGAAATAAGGCCGACCTGGCTGACAAGCGCATGGTGGAGTATGAGGTGCTCCGTGCAGCCTGATTACACATATACTCACATATACTCACATATACTCACATATACTCACATATACTCACATGCACCACGGAAGCAGAAGCCACGATATATACAGCCGTCAGTGGATATTTTCGTACTGTATATCGGAAGCCTGGGCTCTCGATCCTTGGTTATGCATGTATGGTTGGCATGTAGAAGAGAATGCTTTTTTTCCCCCAAAGAAAAAGAGCAGGCAGAAATATATAAAACGTATGCTATTGTTGTCATGATATCAGATATTCACTACCCGATTATTGTGGCCAAAAGAATTCATGATGATATTATTGTGATATCTATAAAAAATTGAACAAAATTATAATAATGTTACCAGTCAAATTTATCTTTAAATTAGTTTCTTGTGTGTTTTGCTTCTTTTCTGACAATTGACTCAAAACACGAGTGTAGTGAGGTGGAGAGTCTAACCATGACTGTATAAAATCATACAAAAAGAACAACTACGCTACTTAACGCATAGTGAAATGACGACCGGGGCTAAAGCCCCCTTTTGTGCTTACTGTTCCGAGCTCCGGTACCTCGGAGTTGAGCACTGGTGGAAACCAGAGTTAAGCAGCAATACTGCCTAGTATGCTGGAGTGTGAATTGGATAATCACTGGCGCTGGATTATTTATGATATTATCATGTGTGTATTATCAATATGATATTGATATTTCATGGATACCATCAGTGGTATATGGGTAAATATATGAATCATATTAAGTCCAATATCGATTTAAATATTGTGCAAAAGTCTTAATCAGTCATAGAAAATGATGTTTAAATGATCTTCATGTTGGTGTAAAACTTCGCTATTATGTCTGTCAAAATGTGTTAGTTTAACCATTGCAAAATGTCTCCTAGTCACCCTAGTATTTCAAGCAACCCTCCAATACACCCATGCATTTTTTGACTTGACCACTAGTACACCTCATATGACTAATTAATACTTCACTAACTACAGACTCTCCTCTACTTACAAACGAGATACGTTACGAACGGCTATTCGCAACTTGAAATGTTCGTAAGTTGTTATTCAACATCTTTTTAAGGGTATACGCAAGTACTAAGACCTAGGATGCTGGGAGTTTGCACGCTATGCTGCTGTGCGGCGGGTATAGCAGCCAGAAGTCGTACTAGGTGGAATTGGCGCACAAAAAAAAAAAATTATGTTGCGGACAGGAAACGGGAGCCCAATGAACACATTTTGGACTTGCAGTCCTCTTTGTTTATATGTCTGAAAGTTCGTAAGTTGAAAGTTCGTAAGTAGAGAAGCTTCTGTATTTACATGAATTTAAGCTTATGATAAAATTTGAACAAATACATGGAATGGCTGAGGTGTGCATGAGGAGAGGATTGGGAACTGAAGTGGTGTTTATCTAGCCAGCCCTCGAGATACCGCTTTTTGGAAAAAAGAAGAAATTATTGTTAGTTTTTCTTGTTACTCTTAATATGCATATATTCTGATGTTAAACAGTTTTTTTTTCTGGGCAAGTAAATATTTACTGCCCAGACAAATACCTCTGAACATTTCTATTGCCTAAAAGACTTTGGCACAGTACAGCGTGTAAATGGTATAATATTAGGTATAATACATATAAAATATAATGAATATGAAATATTTGTGTATAAGAAACCTAAAAAAAGACTGCAAAGGTGTAACGTGACAGTGTATGGGGGAAAACATTGCTTTGCACCTGTAGTTTGTTAAACAGATCTTTTACTGACTGATATGATATAATTCAATTTGTCAAACTCAAAGAGCAGAAACTTATAAATAAGAAGAAAGCCTCCTCATAACCTTAAAACAAGTAAATAACTCAAACTACTTAATTAATCCCACTTTCTGTCTTAAAGTTTTGTGTGTTTCCATTGCTGGTCGATTACTATTAGGTCTTGTATCACCATTTTATGTCAATTAAATTATACTAAACTTATTGAAACTTTCAGAAATCTGTACATCAGTACACCAGTGGGTGGCAAAAGTGAGGTGTAAATGAACTGGATGAATAATCTCTCATTTTGTAAAAAGTTCATTTTGGCCAGTCATATTGAACAGTCTGGTGCTCTGATTGGTTTGTTGTGTTAATTATGTCATCCTCCTCTTGTTGCCGTGTGATAGGAAGCCCAGACTTATGCAGAGGACACTGGCCTGCTGTTTATGGAGACCTCTGCCAAGACCGCCATGAACGTAAACGAGCTGTTTCTGGCTATAGGTGAGTCTCTTACACATAGGCACAATGATATGTTGTGACACGCTGCCTTTTCAGTGTTTATTTTGCTTGTTTTTTTAGTTACATATTTTCAATTATCTTGTCCTGCTTAATTTAGACCATTGGTCAACTAAATTTCACTTAGTGTAGTGTAGATGCAAAACTATTTACACTAATTTACAGTACCTTTTTCCCCAGAGGGAAAAAAAACTAAAAACTGTAAATCTGGGGAAAATTAATAAAAGTAGTATTTTTGGAAATCTAAGAGTATGTTTGGGGGGTGGTGTATGGCTCTGTGGGTAAGTCCTCTGTTCCCCAGATCAGAAGATCGCTGGTTCAGATCCTATGGCTGGTATGAGACCCTTAACCCCAGACGCTCCCGGACTGACCCCGCTATCTGATTAGAGCTGTCACAATTCCTCGATTTAAACTTGATTATTCGATTATAAAAATGGATTGATAAAAAATTTCCTCCGTTACGCTGCAATATGGCGGTAGGAGGGTCCAAGTAATTTCATTCACATTAAAATTGCAGTCGTCTGTAATTATTGCGAAACAAAACTTAAATATCACGACGGTATGACTGAAATGCTAGTATATCTTAAGATAACATTTGGGAAAATAAATAATACGAGGTTAACCATAGATTTGTGCCGTTTAGCTTCGCGGAGTCGCCTAGCCTGTCTGTCATCACGTTAAATTATTTTGCTTAATTTACTTTGTACGATTCCTGTATGTCAAAATAATTGTTGCTAAAATGAAGGTCAGGCCCGTTACGTAATTGCATCATCTTACGTAATACAGGGTTGCTAACTTTAGTCAGCTGGCTGGAGTGAGATTTTCAATTCGAGACAAGTGTGCATACGCATTTACATGTATGTAACAGTTTTATTACCTTGTAAATATTCTGTACGTTTTGCAAACTTTAAATATAGCTAATTGTCTGTTTATAATGGAATAATATAGATTTGCCATAAGATTCCTTGCGTGAGCCTGAGTGTCTGAAAGCATGAGTATGAAAAGTGAGTATCGAATATGAGAGTAACCTAACCGCGGTAGCGTCACGCCAAATGCGTGAGAGTTGGCTACCCTGTAGTATATAATGCGCATGCAGAGCTCATGCAGAAGCAGCGGCATTAAACTAGACTGATGTTATTTACCTAGTATCTGTAAAAAATAAATGAATAATTTTGAAATGGAACCATCATTAAAATAAAATAAAGTTTACGAAGTTTCGTTTCCAGTGACTGAGTTGTCGCACACTGCCTCGTTTCCAGTGGCTGAGTTGTTGTCGCACACTGCCTCTTTGTGTGTGGGGTTTGCATGTTGACCTTGCATGGTGACTTTTCTGCGGATCCTCTGGTTTCTTTCAAGTCTTCAAAAACATGCATATTATATTATATTATATATTGTAGATGATTACTCAATAAACCGTCAGATCAATCAGCAGATTACTCGATTATTGATATATTCGATAGTGACAGCGCTATGATCCTGAATTGTTTGTTGCTTTGGACAAAATCAGCTGCTAAATAAGTAAATACACTGGAGTTACTGTAGACTTTCTGTCGGCTCATACCAGTCTATCCATTCTCCTCTCACCTCTCTCATCTATGAGGTGTTTCTACCCACAGAACTCTTCTTTGTAAACTCTGGAGACCTTTGTGTGAAAATCCTAGGAGATCAGCAGTTTCTGAAATACTGAAACGACTTTATCTGGCACCAACAGCTATACCAAAAAAGTTACCTAGATTACATCAGTTCCTTATTTTAATGTTTGATGTGACCATTAACTGAAGCTCTTGACTGGTTTCTGCATGATTCTATGCATTGCGGTGCTGCTGCATGATTTGCATGAAGAGCATGTATAGTATTACTAATGAGATGTAGTGGCTGGTGGGTGAGTGTGTGCGTGTATGTGAATAAATACTTTATGTATAAAATGTGCTTGAGGCAAGGAACAGAAAATGGCCCAGTGTACTTTGTGTCAGTGCACTACACAATGCCTGTATGTGCATCCTTTCTCTAGACAGCTTTGTACGCATGTGGTCCAAGCTCATTTGATGATGTTTTCGCTGAGGGTCACATTTCCCCTGAGCGGGGGTGCAGACAGCAAAGTAAAAAAGGGAACATTTACCTTTTCTCACTTACATTGTCTAGCAAAAAAGATGCCGAAAACGGACACCCAGAACCCCACACACGCCGCACGCCACAGGGGGGTGAACCTCCAGGACCCCGATGCCCAATCGACCCGGGGCTGTTGTGGGAACTAAGCCACCCTGCCCCTCATCCCTGGGCCTGGTGATCTGGAGGACTCCCCCCTCCCAGACCCCACCCTGCCACTATTCAAAGAGATGGAGTGAGACGGGAGGAGGAGGAGGAGGAGGAGGAGGAGGAGGCTGTCCTCCACCAGATTGTTCTCTGCCAGAATGTGAGTGGTAGACAGTCCCAAATTCAAACTATGTGAGGGAGCAATGGAGTGCCCAGGATTTTGTATTATAAATGGCACAAATAGTAGATTTTTTTTGTGTTTAACTCATGATTCCTTTTTCGATTATGCAAGCGGAGTGTTGACTCAAGTGTCAGAAGCGAGGGAGGGATTGAATAACAGGACAGCGAGTCTGTGCAGCAGGTGGAGCAGACAGCGGCAGAAAGTGAAAGTTTATTCTCCCTGCATTTCAGTACATACCCACGCTCCTTTTGGCCGCCTTGGGCTCTGCTGTGAAAGCAAGCCGTCCCGTTCAGTGTTGTCTGCGGGGCAGGATGCCCCGTTTTAGAATCGGGAATCTCACGTATCCCGTCTCTGCAGGGCATTCCCAGACACTTGCCTCATGGTTGGCTGATATTAAAAATCAATCATGAACCCTGAGCATCAGAAAAATCAGAGACGTGCTACCAAATTAAGAGCTACATCCGTTTTTTTTTTTTCTTTTCCCATTTTCATTTTCTGAGCTTCTGCTCCCCTCATCCACTCCCAGCCACTGTGATTCCTGCTATGTAACACCATGCTCATGGTTAGCGGCATCACTTCTCTGCATTTAGTAATAGCTGTTACTTTAAGAACGGCAAGGAAGAGTAAGGAACAGTATCTCCCAGCAATGGTCAGGGTGTTTTTCTGCACTGGTCCCTGTCCCCGTTGTAGATGTGCACACTACTGTAGAATGTGGTATTTAATGATGGAGTTTCCCTCCATTCTGCCTTGCTACTGAACCTGTTTGTTACACTGTTACGACAGTGCCGGATGTACAGTGCATAATAATGCATATTGATTTTAACCCCATTAATAGCTTAGAACAACCTGACAATGGGATCTAATATATTAATTAAATGTAGATAAACTCGCAAAAAGAGACACTAAACCATTGGACGCTCTCTGATGCATGGTACCAGATGTTGGTACTTTAAAGGAATGAAGAATAGACAGAGAGAGACAGAGAGAGACAGAGAGAGACAGAGAGAGACAGAGAGAGACAGAGAGAGACAGAGAGAGACAGAGAGAGACAGAGAGAGACAGAGCACCGCCCTTGTTCTTTGTGTTTGCCTAACAAAACGGATTTTGGGCAACACAGCTTTTTTCTTGCAACATGCCTGAAACATATGCCGCCTTTATTTTAAACCTCTAAAGAATTTAGGCTTTGTTATTATAAATGATTAATCTGGGGTTCTTATAGTTTATCCGAATGCATTTCTAACCGTACGATGCAGTGACTCAGCTGGAGAAAGGAAGAGGCCTGTGAAAAGCTTGACAGTTGCGGCACGTTGAATCGTAATTAAATGCTAATGTTTTTAAGCATACGGTGACTCCCACTGTGCAACTCATATCCTCACACTATGTGCAAAGTATATTCGCCATTCACTGGAGGCAGGTTCCAATGGTTAGAGTATATTTTGAATGTGCCTCATCTTTTAAAGGGAGCTCATGGTCCCTCTAGCTAGTGCTTTGAATGGCCTGCCGGTCCTATAGACCGATGATCAGAAATTCAGTATGCAATCCAAATACAGTACAAATACGACCACAATCACTCAATTTTCAAGACACAGTGATAACAGAATGTGATATCTAAAAGAGGATACATTTTTAATTGTTGACATCATTGCACTCCTCATATTCGCCTTTTTGCCATTAAATCAGTGGGAAGGAAAGTCCTCTGAATGAATAAAGCATGTGTGTCATTGTTTTGATGTTATAAGCAACCTGAACTTGTGTTTTGGATCTATATTGTAAATAAGACATGAATCTATTTTATAAACCATCACACAATAAAAGATGACACTTTGTGACTCTGTGGCAAAGGCACAGACCAAAATATCTGCACCAAATCTAGAAATTAGGCAAAACAAGATGTTTCATAAATGAGCTGAGTGACATTTAAGCCTACTTTAATACCCATGCATTTGTATATGTGTAATATTGCTCCTTTGCTTTTTAATTTGCATAGTAAATTATTTTTTATTCATTTTTTTCATATTCTTGGCATGATGTGTATCAGTGTTCATTTTTTATGCTCATTAGTTTGGTCTTATCTTGGCAGTATTCTTCAAAGTCCAGTTAGGAAAACAGCACAAAACCCTCTCATTCTAAGGCATTGACCCAACCAGTGAGCTGCCTGCAGTGCCATCTAATGCAGTGCCAGTTCCTCCCAGAAGGGTATAACCATACAATCACACCTGTTCTTTTGCCCCAAAGTGGATCTGGCTCTGCACTGTTTCTCCAAGGAGATGGAATTATGATTCAGTTCTTACTGAAGGGCCGGAACTATCTGCATGCACACACTGGTTCATTGATGTTGCACTGAAGCAGTGTGTGCCCATTCTCACCTTTCACAACTAAAAGCCACAGCTATTTATATACTAACGTAAGGCTTATGATTATTTAACCAGTTACTGGTTGGGAGCTGAAAATCAGAAAGGAGAACAGACAAACGGCAGATTTGTTCAGGTCCTTTAAGATGTGATGTTTCATATATTCTTAAAGGGACAGAATCACACATATTGTTGGTTAAGTCATGTATAACTGGATTTACTGAATTAAAAACATAAAAAACATTTTCTGGGTTGAATTGTGTTCTAGGGGAATTAAGTATCTGTGCTGTAAAAATAACTGCATTTTTAATTGAACATATGCACAACAAAAATTAACAGGCACATAGACAGATGCTATGAATGAACACAGTAAGTGATATTCAAGCACCTGTACAGCTCTGCTAACTACTCTTATGTGCACAGAATTTAGCATGATGCAGCAGTCTGGTAAAGAAATGAGCTAAATTACTTTAGGTTTACTATAAGTTCATTATCTTAGTTTTAAAATAAAATTTTCAAAATGGTATAAAAAAAATCACCTTGCCTATTGTAAAAAAAAAAAGAGATTCTTAGACTGAATTGAATAAGAGCAGCAGCAGCAATACAGCGCTCCTGAAAGCAGACATGCTGCTCTCACACGTGCCTCTGCTGGACGGCCAGGCTCTACCGCTACGCTTCATCCTCCTCATCCTGGCCAGTGTAGATTAACTGGTTCCTTCGTTTTATCTTGGGGGTAATTCCAGTGCTTGTGGTAGTACCAGACTCCCCACTGGTGCGCTTTGGGATTCTGGCCAGTTGGGGGCCCTCTTCTTCTGGGCTGCAATGGGAGGGTGACTGGGAAGGTGTCTGGGAGGCAGAGGCTGGAGGTCCATCAATGGGGAGGGAGAACTGGGGGGCTTCGCTTACACAGGGAGGTGGGAGCACTAAGCACCTGGAGGCCACGTATCGCGGTGGGCTGTCAGTGTCCCGGTCCCCAGGCTCTCCCTCTGGGACGACAGCGTCGGGGCTCAGGCCACCATCGTCACCTCCCTTGCTGGATCCATCGTCTTCCTCCCACTCATCTTCGATGGTGATTTCATCCGGGTTGTAGGAACTGGACAGAGCAGACGTGTCAGTGGGGTATTCACTTGGCTCCTCCACACTGCCGGTGCTCTGATTGTCTTCCTCCTCGTCCTCCTCGGAGGCGCCTGGGCCGCCCCTCTCCTCGGACCGGCACCCGCCCTGTCCAGTCCGAATGTAAATGTCAGTCAGGCCCAGTGTGGCGCACAGTTCTGTCGTCTGGGGGTTGGTGCTGTGGCTGGGCTGCAGCTGGGGCTGGGGGCGACTCGGCTCGTAGGGGGCCACCGTCTGACTGAAGTTCTCGGGGATGCGCAGCTCCCCCCCCAGACAGGCCACTGCCTCCATCATAGCAGCTTCTGATGCACTGAAGTCCCACCTGGGCACAAATCAGGGAAGATACATGCTGGATTAAATATTCCAAAGCCTGTTTAATATCAAGAGCAGCTGCTGGAGCATGCAAGGCTGAGAAGACAATCCCTGCTATCATTAAAGCACCCTCACCGGGAGTGCAGGCCGTTGTCCTGCGGAGGGTTCCAGGGCTTGGGCGTGCTGTTCTGCAGGCTGTCAGTGGCTCTCAGGATAGCCAGCCACTCAGGGTCATACTCCAAGCAGTCCGAAGAACCTGGTCGCTCCGCTACATCCAAGACCTGATAGAGAGAGGGAGAGACTGGCATCACCCACCTACCATGGCAGCACCTTGAGGGATAGAACCCTGCAGGTTTTTGGAATTGCATTTCAACTTGCATTTACCCTAGAATGACATGTAATACATCCGGTGAGGCACACATCTTAACCGACCACTCAGACCTGAATCTGAATCTCTTCTTCAAAGGTTCCCCATTACAACTCATGTTGCCTGTGGAACTCTGCCACTGTACTCGGTACAAACACATCCTGTACTAAAACTGTGCTAATATATAATTCATTAAAACTGAATGAGGATAGATCGCAGACCAAGTCTCCCTAGGCATGTAACAATGATTTACTGTGATTTAATATTTATTGGTTAACACTAAGATTAAATAAACTAAGGTAAGTAAGTGACCTGGTCACAATGGAGGTACAACAGATTAGAGACAAACCTGCAGAAAGTCCCGGTATGGCAAACACTTGTCCAGTGAGAGAAACTTAGTAGTTCGGGCAGCACAGTCACCCTGAGCCTGTAAAAACAAACATACTATATTACTACGTACTATAACATACTAATTAACCAACTTCAACAAAGCTGCATTACATTCAACTTAATCATGCTTAGCTGCCTTTGTGCAGCATATCATCATGCCACAAGTATTTGTGGAAAAGAAAAAAAATTCTTCGGTTCCTTCTATTGCAATGCCTGAAAAAATATATGATGTTAAATTATAATTGGAATTTTGTCACAGCCTTGGATTTCCCAAGCTGGGGAAGCATCAGAATTCTTGGGAGATTGAGCACTGCATTATGGGAGACGCAGCCTCCTCTCGGGTGAAACTGACCTGGTGCTGCATGATGGCGGCGAACTTGACATGCAGGTGAGCAGCAAACCAGTACGCAGGCTGCAGGTGGGCCAGGAGCTCTGCAGCTGCAGGGCTGCCCAGACTGCTACACTCCACCTCCTGCCTCAGGAACTTCTTCTTGCGCAGCAGCTGCTCTGTGCTGCCATAGTGATAAATACCACGCGGCCAGTCATGTGACATGAAGATGTCCATGGGCTGCTGGATCTAAGAGCAAGAAAAGGACAGCATGCCGTCATTTACATTTACATGCCGTCTCCCATAATGCAGTGCTCAATCTCCCAAGATTCCACCCATTCATCAAAGTTAAGAATTTTTTTTTGCTTTACAGCCCATTGTACCACATACGACCCAGTAACAGTGACATTTAGTGATTACTGACTAAATTAACCAGATTTTTTTCCACAATAAATATGGCCCCCGACGTGTTTTGAGGTTGTTGCTGTACATGCTGCAAAGATTCACCTGTCAAGCTGTGAATAGGTAAGTGGCAGAAATTTTGCATCATCAGTTATAATGTTTAGATGTTATAGAACATGTACAACTAGGTTTTGGATGTTTTGAAACTTTTCTGGCAACTGTGATGATCATGTTCCATGTGCTCAACATCAGCCTCAGACAAAAACAGGGAATACAGGTGACGCACCAGACCTTACAGTACATCCCACAAGTAAACTTTCTGTGTGTAGTACACCTTTTTCCAGGCCTGTTCACTTGACCTGTTTCTTGATGGGTTGGCATGTTTGAAGCCTGTGTTTTATTGCCAGCGCATGGTGAATGATGAAAAGGAAAACTCAATAAATGCATTTTGAAAATGAGAATGTTTGGTTTTTCCTCCTTTTCTGTCCTTATTTCATAGGTGAAATTAACAAGTTGGAACAGTATGAACAGTCCAGGGGGTCGTATATGGCACATTTCATAACATGGACTGGGAAAGGGTTATTTTTACAAATACTTATTTTTGAGTTCACTGGGTCTGTATGATCATTTTAGCCAATGGACATATTTTTCCTATAAAAAGGTGGTCTGGGTTCCCCAGGGTTAAAAAGAAATATATTACATTCAAAACGCCACCTCTGGTAACAGTTCCAGAGCACTATGGTTTGTAACTGTATACATCTTATATATATTTCAAGTCCAATTTATTTTTATATAGCACCTTTCACAACAGAGTTGTCCCAAAGCGCTTTACATGGATGCGTTGTGTTACACTAAACAACATCAGTAGAGTGAGCAATACAGAACAGGAAATGGAAGGAAAGAAATTAAACAACATGTATAACAGAGAAGGGCTGATCAACAAGTGTGCTAAACTAATTTTCTGAGTAATATCTTTTGATTTTGAACTGAATTTTCTTTTCTTAAAATGTTTATTAGTTGAAATGTTTATTAGTAGATCCTCCTCGTGAAATTTTAGCTGGGCGATGTCTTCACTTAAAATTCCACACAGCATAATTTTTTCTAACTTTGTAATAGGCAGGTGTGCAAATTAATATGGGGTCACCATTTTAAAGGGAATTATTGGCGGTAAATGTCGACTCATTTTTAACCAATGGCTGATTATTGCTGCATTGACCAAGTCCAGTAATACAATCAGTGCATCTCTAGTTTTTAGCATTTGCTAACTGTGTTTTGTGTTAACCTTTGTGTAAGATATGGGTCCTAAAAAAATTCAGCTATGTAAAGTATTGTGGCTTGTGGAACCAGTTGAGTAAGATGTGTCAGCACTGTATTCTATTTCAACCCATAGCAAAGTCCTCACCTGCTTCAGTTTGAAAACGTCAATGTTTCTGACGTGGTAAGCACTGCGCAGTGTATCCTGGCTGTAGGGTGGAAATTCATAGTGTCCTACAATATAAACACACCATAAGTCCCATACAAAATACTTGCAGTAGAACTCATTTTATATGGTTTTACACAAAAGACTAGTTAGATTGGGGGGAAAAAACAAACCCATATATTAACTGTACAATGCACCATGGTTTTCAGAGCAAAGTCAGAATGGCACACGTACATTATATATTACATTGCGCCATTTAAATGTTGTGAAAGAAAGTGAAAGTGTTTCAACCATGTAAATAGTTAAAATTGTGTTCAGCTAATGTTTTTGCTCCCCCCCCAGTCTTGAAGAGGGATGAATCTCAATACCAAAAACACAAAGATTGTACTTGTGGTTCTGGCAAGACTGGCTAACTTGCCTTCCAAGAACAAACTTTGGCGCAGTGAATCATGGGATCGGTCTTGTTTGGCAAGGATGTAGCCAATGTATCCTTGATATTTGGAGTGGAGCAAGACAAACATGCCTGGATGTTTAATGTCCCCTGTACTTGTGTTTTTAGTATTGGATCTGGTCTTTGATAATGGAAGATGCCGTAAAACGGGTACACAAGAACAGGTATGATCGAGTATACATACTGAAATTCACCCCAGGAAGAGAGGTTAGAAGATGGATGGACTTATGGAATTTGACCTTACTCACCTTTTCTATAGTCATGTGATTTGAAAATTCCTGACAAGCCACCAATCCTTATTCCTTTGTAGCGAACCACTCCAGCATAACCTAGTCAAGCAGAATATGTAAGAATCATGCATATCTGTGTACCTGCAAATGCCTCCATGGTTAATACAGAGGAATATATGTGAATGAAAAGCTTGAAGAAATGACATCGCTGTATCTGAAGATCGTTACCCATGTAGTAAATGTTGGGAGCCACCCAGCCTCCATACGCCAGCTCTTGCAGATGGTTGGAGGCCTCGTGATTTCCTCCAATAAAGATGGTCAAGACTGGAGCTTTCTTTTCACCAGAGTAATATCTGCAGGGAGATGGAAAAAAGAACACGAATGAAACTTAAAAAGAACACACCAGACAAAGTATTGACAGTATTGTAAAATACAGGAAAAGGCCAACAGTGACACTAACTTGTAGAAGGTCTGCATCTGCCTGTACTTGGCTGGTACGGCCATGCACTTCATATCTCCCTCATTTCGCACTGCCTGGAAGTCTCCACAGCAGAGCAACAGGTCCACAGATAGGCCTTCTTTGCGCTCCAGATAGGCAATGGTCTCATAGATCTTATCCAGTTCACCATGACAGCAACCCTCTACTGCAATCTTCATGGTTGCTCAAAGATCCCAAGGTATGGTCTGACTAATAGCATCCAATTAAAGCCCACTACCCGCTCAAACCTGTCACAGATCCTACACTCCCCCAAATCTCCTACCCCCTTATTTCCCTCAAACTAACACTACAGGTCAGATTCAGAGCACGGCGGCGCTGTCTGTCAAGTGGAAAGAAAAAGACATAGCAAAATGAGATATGGTTTCGCGTGATAAAACAGTAAAACGCGTTTTGTGGTTCATCGACAGTAAGAAAGCGTGCAGCTAATTTCCCTTGATTAGCTGGGACATTAGATTGACTTTCGAGCTATATGCACTAGAATATTTGCAACATATTCCCAAATAAAGCCGCGTTCCTGAAACCCAAATCAGCAAAAGATACAGATTCACGAAAGTAAGGAAAGTTTCTCACTTGTGTAACATTTCCTAAACTTGCTGCTAGCCAGATTACTGACTGCTAAGACTTCATAACGCGAATGAGATCTTCATTTTTGCCGTTTCCTTATTATCATCATCAATCTTCTATATTATAATAGCATTATGTATGACACATCTGTCTTAAAATATCAAGATTGATCTGACTGGATTCACGTGCAGCATATACACTCTAATATGTGGATTACGTACACAAGACTCACCTACTTCACTTAGGGTTACCAGACATGCTTCTGATGTAGCCCTAATACGAAACAAAAGTTAGAGCTCCTTGTGAAAATCAAAATTATTTAGTATTATTATTATCCTATCCTGGTTTCACATCATGGCGTCTGAGAGTAATGGTAAGGGTAGATTCGTTTTATATCAAATAGCGTTTTATTTCAATTTACGTGTAAGTCTAACTACCTTCGTGAAACTTTAACACCGCTACAGGAGAAACTTGTAAAGCAAAACATTCATAAAATAAATGTGCAAAAAGCCAAGAAAGCTATGCACTTTCTTACTTAAAAAATCCTTACTGGAAGGTGATCTGGCAACCCTGCTGGCAAATAGAGAACATGCGCAGACGGAATCCTATGGAGACCATTACGTATATCTAGTACATGTTTGAGAAAAGTGATTTCGATTGAATGTATCCACAACATAACCCGGTTTTGAAACTAAATTCAATAACTGAATTATTGTAGCGCATCGTCGATAATGTTTTAGACAAAATAAATATATTCGTGTAAAGGGAACTCATTTTATGATAATCATGTCATGATATTTATTTGTATAATCTGTCGAAATGAAACGAGCGATACCGACGTGGTTTAAAACAAACTAGGCACTCATAATCTTCAAAATAATATTCGATAATTAAAAGTGTACGTCGAATTTGATAGAAAATTGGCAATTTAAGCAGACACAGGAATGTGAAATAAGTGTTGTTTAGTTCCTGTGAAATCCACTAACCCCCTTCTCAGAGTAGCAAACGTTGCAACAAAAAAGCGTGTGGTTTGGTGGCGTTTTTTCCCCAGCACTCGAGCTGAGGGGCTGGAAGGCCTAGTATGTAGAAAGTGCGGCTCCGATTGGGGCGCTCGTCCGGGGGAAGAGAGATGGCGTGTATGCTGGAGGCCCCTCTCCGCATCAGCGTGCTGTCCGTGAGTCTTCTGCTCATATTCCGCTACACCGGGCCTGTCCTCCGTGCGCCCCAGTGGCGCACAGCAGGAAGGTCGCAACAATGTCTGCTATAGCGGCCGATCCTTGTCCGCTGGCACCGCGGCTCGGAACTTGGTGATGTGACACTGACTGGCTCTGCCCGGTCACCGAACCGGTGCCGATGAAGACATGACCGGCCAGCCGCATGTGAAGCCCTGGGTTTTGAGCACCCTGCACTATTTAACAGACGTTACACAGCAGTTGCGGTGCTTTGACGCGTCGGTAATGGTATTATAAGTAGCGTAGTATACCACAGCGCGCTTTGTTACTTTACCCCACCGCCGGGTATTAAGTTGTCTGCTAACATGAAGTACTATTAAGTGTAGCTAGCCGTTTTTATTACTTATCAAGTTAACGCTCTTGCATATTATAAACGGAACCGGACAGTTTCGGCTTTCTGAATATATAGCGTGAGATGCCTGGGCGTTAACTTTGTAATGGTAAGCAGTATCTTTTTTGACAACTATACGGCACTTTTATTAATAACGCGTGCGAAGTCATAGTTATGAACCACTGTTCCGGCTGTCCCGCTGCTTCATTTATCCTCAGTTCGTGGCTTGCTAATCGCCCACAAGTTCAACTGTCAGTGTCGGCATTTAATGTGATGGGGAGTAATATTATTGATATAGACGTTTTCCCATTGTGGCGTACCACCTGTTAAAGCTGTTAGCATGAGAATAACCGATCGGATCGCACTGTAAAGTCAGAAATACTCTGCAAAGCAAAGCGGGGGTGCAGCCTGTGTAATGACGATCGGGAAGTGAAAGTACACGAGGTTAGGTGTGTGCAGATGCGCAGCCTGGCGTGGGTAGGGCTTCCCGGGGCGGATCTGGGCTCCTCCGTGCTCACACTGCCTGACAGCGCCTCCCGGTCAGAGGTGCGGTGTAATGTGCTGTCTAATGCACACTATATAATGTGCACCACCGCGGAACACGTGCGTGCTTAAGGATAGTCATATGTACTCCATGTATGATTTAGGGATATTTGAAATTTACGATTGTTGACATCGTGCAGTTTTCAGTTTGAGCTCCATGATGCCCATTTCTTTCTAAAAGTGCGTAAAAAGAATCAAACCAAGCAACGCTGAAGTTAAAACTGTATGTGTTTAAGTTGATCATAACCAACGTATTTTCTAGTTTTTTTTATTTCAGTATGAAATCGTTCAGGTATGTGGGGTGTTGAAAGCATTTACAGTGGCGCCAAGATTTGATTTTAAGGTAACATTTAGAATAATGAGTGAACCGAAAACATGGTTTTAATTAAGGGAATAGTTCTCCGTAATGTCTTAAGTGAGCATCGTGGCTTGGTTATTGCAGCGCACCTTAAAAATAATTGATTTCCTTGTTTAACTTTTCCCAAATCAATTCCTCACCTCTCAAAGGAATATATAACATTATATAAGAGAGTACGCAAGGAATTACGCGTATTTTGACCTGAACACACAGGTGTTTGTGCACTGAAAATATACTGTGTAATTCCTAATCCTCTAGTGATGAATTAATATAATTAAGTACAGGCTTGAAGGCTATGTCAAAACCATTGGAGAAATGCTATAAATGTTCTCGAAGTTCAGCACTGATTTCAGAAATTGTTTATGGGGAGGAGTTTATAAGATTGTACCCAGAAGTCATTTAACAAGAAGATAGTAGTGTTCTGTAAAGTGCAAATATCCTATTTCACTATGGGGTGCTACTGTCCAGCCAAGGGTTTTCTAAAGTAAGCACTAGTAAGACAAGTTATGTCACAGACACTGAAGAGATTTGTGATATGTATCGAAAATCCTTAACTGTGCAGATATTCCACCCACACAAAATCTCCATGGACAAAAACTAGAGGATACCATCAGGAACAGCATAAAGGGAGGGAAAGCTGGACATATACATGGGGTCCTGAGTGACAGGGCCTCTAAGAACTTTGGAGTGTAATTGGATTAGTCTGGGTCCAATGTGATATGTTTTAATGGGGTCTAAAATGTCTGCTAGCATACGGTCATGAGCTTTATCTTGCCATATTTGTGATATATACACACATGGATATGTGACTGGCTTAGTGACTGTTCGGTTTATTTTTTATTATAGTTACATACATATATACAACAGGTTACTGATGATTTCTGTAATTCTTTCTTCTGTTTTGAAGTAGCAACCTGTTGTTTAACAGTGCTTGCAGAGTGAGAAAAGGCCCTAAACTTGCTACAGGGATTTGCTGACCTGTATTTCTCAACTGTATGTCACTTTGGACTAAAGTTCCTGCTAAAAGTAAAAATGTTATAACGTAAAATGAACAAGAACAAATAAAAGTGAATCAGTGGAAATGTGGACGTAGAATGTGCAGACTTTAATACCAGTGGAGGCTGTTCTGCTCCATGATATCAAACAGGTTCTTGGCTAGCTGGTGATGCTAATTGTAAACAGAGTTATCAAATGACAGAACCCCATGCTGATCACCTCGTGCGTTCAATGAGCAATGGTTTAAAGGTGGAGCCGAATTAATGAGGTTCCTCCACTGGGATCCTTGCACCAGGTTGTGTTTAGTATGGAAGAGGCAGAGACTCACGCCTGTTCCATTCTCGTTGCTACGCAGGAGGTTACTGCCACTAGTCGCCATTATGTTGACAGACTGTTCGACCCCGACCCACAGAAAGTGCTTCAGGGAGTCATGTGAGTACAGTGCCTTCTGTGTGGTGACAGTGTGCCTAATAACTGCTGTGTGTGTTAGCAGGAAGCCCTGCAGGTTGTGTGAGTGTGTGTGAGTCCATGTGTGTGTGCACCTGTGCGCCTGCCTGTGTGTTTATCACTTCTTCATTCAGGTTCCCCATGAGGCTTCGGCGCAGATTTTTTTCCCATCTTTATTTATATCCTCAGCTCGTGCTCTGGTTACTGTGACAGACACTGGATCGCTGTATTTTTCCACTGCCTTCAGTCTTTATGTGTCTGATAATTATACACTAATACTCTTAAGTTGCCTTTGTAAAGAGCCCCATAGATTGCTGCTTTGACCAAGATGGACTACCGTCTAGGTGCAGATGTCTGATGCTGGTGTTTTATTTCAGTCTCCTGCATTTTGTAACAATGGACCTTCAGGGATGTTTAACCAGATAGCAGCTGTAGACTGATGACAGAATGTGTGATTTCCAGACAAAAGCAATCAATTAAATCAGTTCTAACTGCACAAATTGCAAGTGATGGTTCCTTGAAACCTGCTCTTTATACTTAGTTTTTGCCAAATACTGCTTAGGGTCTGATGCGAATAACTTTTGGCTAGGCCCCAGACTTTACAACGTGGGCTTCCAGTCATTTGCTCTTATGTTTTGCAGTGACATGAAGAATGCTGTAATTGGAAACAACAAGCAGAAAGCCAACCTTATCGTGCTGGGAGCCGTGCCCAGGTATCTCATCCATGTGCTTCCCCACATGCCGTCGCTTCTCGTTCGCAGCATCCCATTGGTCCTCTAAACATAAACATGATGAACATTTTGCTGATTTAAAGTCTTTGGATGGCCTGGTGGTTGTTGGGGACATGGCGTGTTGCCCGGTTGAGTGAAAGCAGTAGACGGCAGCCCAAACTCAGCTGTAAATGCAGCACTTCAGACTGCCAGACTGGCTTACACACCTTATCTATTTGTTCTGAGAAAGATACTCTGACGTTCATGTTGTTAATGAGAGACACTATATGGACAAAAGTATTGGGAAACCTGGCCATTACACATACAGAAACTTTTATGGCATCCCATTCTAAATCCATAGACATCAATATGGAGTCGGTCCCCCCTTTGCAGCTGTAACAGCTGCCACTCTTCTGGGAAGACTTTCCTCAAGATTTTAGAGTGTGTATATGGGAATTTTTACCCATTCATCCAGAAGAGCATTTCTGAGGTCAGTCATTCATGTTGGACATGAAGGTCTGGCTCACAATCTCCATTCTAGGTGTTAGATTGGGTTGAGGTCAGGGCTTTGTGTGGGTCAGTCAAGTTCTTCCACACCGAACTCACCCAACAATATCTTTATGGACGCTGCTCTCTGCACTGGGGCACAGTCATGCTGGAACAGAAAGGATCTTCCACAAACTGTTCCCACAAAGATCAAAGCATACAATTGTCCAAAATGTCTTAGTAGGCTGAAGCATTAAGAATTCCCTTCACTGGAACTAAGGGGGCTAGTCCAACCCGTGAAAAACACCCCCATACCATTATCCCCCCTCCACCAAACTTTACAGTTGACAAAATGCAGTCAGGCAGGTAACATTCTCCTGGCATCTGCCAAACCCAGACTCGTCCATCAGACTGCCAGACAGAGATGAATGATTTGTCACGCCACAGAACACATTTCCCCTGCTCCAGAGTTCAGTGGCAGTGTGCTTTACACCACTCCATCTAACACTTGGTGATATGAGGCCTGCATGCAGCTGCTCGGCCTTGGAAGCCCATTCCATGAAGCTCCCAGCGCTGGTTTTGTTCTGGAGTCAATGCCAGAGGAAGTTTGGAACTCTTGGTGACCCCGCTCTGTTACTTTACGTGGTCTGACCCTTCATGGCTGAGTTTCTGTTGTTCCTAAATGCTTCCACTTTGCAATATTACCACTTACAGTTGACCGTGGAATATCTAGCCAGGAATAAATTTCACAAACTGACTGAAAAAGGTGGCATCCTATGACAGTATTAGGCTTGAATTCACTGCGCTCTTCAGAACAACCTTTTCTTTCATAAATGCAAACCTGACTGCATGGCTAGGTGATTGATTTTATACACCTGTGGCAATGGGTCTGACTGGAACACCTGAATTCGGTGATTAGGAGGTGTGTTCCAATAATTTTGTTCATATACTGTATCTGAGAAAGTACCAGCTAGGCTCAAATAATTCAACTACTACTGCAATGGTACTTTGTTTTTTCAGGGTTGCACTGTTTGTAGACCATTGCTCTAGTAAACATTTATGCTGTGTACTAATCCGGCAAGATAATTTTGTGTCACAAAATATAAATGGTCTCTCACTAATTACCAAAACAAGTTATTATCAATTCTTAATTGATTTTTTTCAGTTCTGCACTATGCCAATGAAATTTTTGAAGTTATTAATTTGTTTATATGTTCAGCCAGGATCCAGTGTGAGCTGGGCCGTCCAGTGCAGTGTGTGTGAGGGAGCTTGCTCATCAGTGGCAGGTGCTCATTTCTGTTGTGTTGGTATTGCCCCCCCCCCCCCAAGGCTATTGTACCTGCTTCAGCAGCCTTCGTCCAGCCTGGAGCTGCGGACCGAGTGTGCAGTGGTGCTGGGCAGCCTGGCTATGGGCACAGAGAACAACATCAAGTCCCTGGTGGACTGCCACATCATCCCCGCCCTGCTGCAAGGTCAGCCGGACCCGAGCACCTCGCAGACCCTTAGATGTGAAAGTTCTGCTCATCACCATGGTGCTTTCCCCCTTTTAAGCTTGGGGTGACATAGACCTTCTTACACATCGCCCAGAGGGGTGCCTAGTCACAGCATTTATTTTATTTATTATTTTTCAAACACAGTGGTACCTCAGTTCTCGAACTCATTAGAACTCGAATTTCTTAAAAGTCGAACCAACCAGTTTGAAAAAAAATTACCTAGAGCTCGATCTGAATCTCAGAAGTCAAACCGTGAACGCAGACCTAAGATAACTTGTACGCGCGGGGAAATGAGTCACGCAGCACGTCTCTCAGTGGAAACAAAGGGTAACGCTTCAGTCTCAGCCTCGCATTAACTGTGATAGCACCGTGCGTGTTTATACTACCTGAATACATATATTTAGACAGTAAAAATACATTTAGACAATGATACAGTAACAGTAAAATTTTATTATTATATAGTAAAATACATTTAAAAAGAAAGATTTCTTATTCATTATTTTAATATTAATAATAAACCATGAATACATTTAATTATAATAATATTGTGGTGCCCAGCGGGGACAGAACGGAGACAAAGGCGCAGACGTCAGGGTATCGGGGAATACAGGGTTTAATTACAGGTAAGGCAGGCAAAACGCGGACGGACAATACAATGACCGGACTGGGGAAACAAACTGAAACAGAGAACTAATGACAACAACCAGAAACAGCTGATCACACGGGGATTCCACACGGGGTTAACGAGGGGGCGTGGCACACGGAAGGAGCGGACGATCGGGGCAGGACACATTTTATTTTTTAATTTTACACATTGTATGGATACATTTATTTTCTTACTTTACAAATTACTGTTTTGATAAATGTGCTTAAATGTGTTTAGTACAGTATATGCTCTTTTTGTTTTATCCTGTTCATTTTGTGTTTAAATGCCAAAATAAAAAAAACATATTTAGGTGTAATTTTTTGGGGCCGGGAACCAATTAATTGGTTTTTCATTATTTCTTATGGGGAAAATTCGATCACAACTCGAACTTTTTAGGATTCGATCCGGAGTTCTGAACGGATTAAATTCGAGTTCCGAGGTACCACTGTAGTTGCTGAAACGCCGCCTTTCTTGGTGTGGCTCTGTCACATCACCTGTTTCTGTCTGTGTCCCTGTCCAGGTCTTCTTTGTCAGGACCTGTGCTTTATTGAGGCCTGCCTACGTTGCCTCAGGACAGTGTTCATCAGTCCGGTTACTCCAGTGCAGCTGCTTTACCCAGTAAGACCAATGCCTCTGCATTCACACATCACTCATTTCCATATTAGCATAAGAATACTGAGTCATACCTTTGCATGCATTTTTTTTCTGTAATAGTAATATTAGCTCTAGTCCCTTCGTGTAAGTGATGGATGATATTTTCAGGACCCCACTGTGATCCCCCACCTGATGTCCCTGTTGAGTCGGTCACAGCGAACGCAGGAATACATCACCCAGATCTTCTCGCATTGCTGCAAGGTCAGCCAGGCGCAGCCATGCTCTTCATGGGCTGTACTTCACTACAGCTCATTGGTGGAGTTTCTGAGTCGCACTCTTTGTCCCACAGACTCCTGAGCATCAGACGATTCTGTACAACCACGGAGCCATTCAGAACATCGCCCCCCTGCTCAACTCACCCTCCTACAAGGTGAAGCACGGCCCCCTCCCGCCGCCAGTGCCGGCTCACCGTCTTCCTGTCATGTCACTCGATCTCTCTATCATTCTATCTGTCTTTGTCATTTGATGTCGACATTCTTTGATGGCACGACTTGCATAGACAGGGCTGGAAATCAGGCTCGCCCACTCCCCCGAGGCGAGAAATGTAGGCGGAGGGCAAGTACAAAAAGCTAGTAAAAAATGATATGCCAGACTTCATTTTTTACTGAACTAGCCCAGTTGGCTAGTAGCAAAAATTCCTGAGTTCCACTCCTGTGCATACTGGTAGTATTGCCAAAGTACTGCATATGAAGTATTAAAAGAACACGTAAAACTAAAGGTATACTTAAACATAAAACTGGTGGCTTAATCGTTAGGGAAGTGCGCTTGTAATTGAAAGAGTGCAGGTTCGAATCCCCGACCAGCAAGGTACTGACCCCATGCACTGCTCCCCGGGCGCTGAATTAGCTGCCCCCTGCTATGTCATGATGTCACATATGGGTTAAATGCACAGGACACATTTCGTTGTTGTGTGCTGTGGTTTATTTCTAAATAAATGTGAAGTTAGATGTGTGTCTCTCTCTGTCTCTCTGCAGGTACAAATGCAGGCCCTTAAGTGCTTCTCAGTCCTGGCCTATGAGAATGCCCAGGTGTCCATGACACTGGTGAATGGTGAGCTCCAATCCTCTCCGTCTCTGTGTCTCTGAATGTAAGGCATCCTGCCATGTTGTTTCAGGGTCACATCAGCGAGTGGATAACAGTGTATCTTTCCTGCTGTGTAATACTCTTTCGGTTAAAAAATGCCGGCTTGTGGTTAAGAAACAAAATCAGTCGTGAGACGATCCTTCCCTTCCGTTTGCTCTCGACTTGCATGTCCTGTTTCTCTCAGTGCTTGTGGACGGGGAGCTGCTCTCTCAGGTATTTGTCAGGATGATGCAGAGGGACCGGCCCATTGAAATGCAGCTTACAGCAGCAAAATGGTGAGGACTGCCTGCCTGTGTCTGTCTGCCTGCCTGCCTGCTGTCGGGGTGTATGGTTCAGACCATAGACCATAGACTGAGCAGTCTCTTATCGACAACCCCCACCTACCCACAGCCTGACATACATGTGCCGAGCTGGAGCCATCCGGACCGATGACACCTGCATTGTTCTGAAGGTCAGTCCTGATGGGTGGGGTGGTCGGGAGGTGTTAAGTGATATTCCTGTTTGTCTGCTAGAGAGAGAGGATCTTTGAGCATGCATTATGTGTATTAAAGAATAACGTGTCTTTGCGTGTTGATCTTTGCAGACGCTCCCTTGCCTGGTGCGCATGTGCAGTAAAGAGCGGCTCCTGGAGGAGCGGGTGGAGGGTGCGGAAACGCTGGCCTACCTGATGGAGCCCGACGTGGAGCTGCAGCGCATCGCGAGCGTCACCGACCACCTGGTGGCCATGCTGGCTGACTACTTCAAGTACCCGAGCTCCGTGAGTGCCATCGCGGACATCAAGCGGGTGAGGGGCTTGCGGGGCGGCGTGGGGGGGTGCGGTGGCATGAGGGCCCACGGTCAGCTGCTGAATCCACACAGCTGTGTATGTCACACGGTCAGTAATCATGTGACTGAGCTATATTAGAGTATGTTGGAAATTAGTGTCATTGTGCAAATATTATACTGAGGGTGTACTGTTGGGTCACCCCCAAGGGTTATGGTTTCGAATCCCATCTCCACTGCGTGTGTGAATATTCCTGTGTTCCTTCCTGTGTTTCGCAGGTTTCCTTCAGGTTCCATTTTTCACCTACAGACCAAAGACATGCAATTAGGCAAACCGGTGTCCCTAAATTACCCCCCTGGCATTCTGTCAGGGCTGTTCTCTGTGTTATGCCCTGTGCTGCTGGAATAGGCTTTAGGTCCCACGTGACCTTGTACTAGATCACTGAAAGTCTTACAATAGAAGCAGTACTAGAACAGAAAAGCAGTAGAAGAGTGTAGCAGTGAGCCAAAGCTTGCAGGATCCTGACTGTTGCATTTTCATGGCACCGGAGGGGCCCTGTGGTTGTAGCCCATTTCGGATCAAGCTGTACAACCAGAGTGAAGCTGTGAGGTGTGACAGTCTCTCTCTCTCTCTCTCTCTCTCTCTCTCAATCCCACCCCCACCCCCCACCCCCAGCTGGACCATGACCTGAAACATGCCCACGAGCTACGGCAGGCCGCATTCAAGCTGTACGCCTCGCTGGGCGCCAACGACGAGGACGTGCGCAAAAAGGTGCCCTTGCTGACCTTTCTCCTGTTCTGTTATGTCCATTGGGGACTCTGGGAAATTTCCACTGTTTTCCATCCCTCATGGACTGCATCTCTCCCAAACAGCTGAGCGTAAAACTCCTCTCGTCATCACGGGGCTAGCCAGCATGACTGATTTAATATGTATCTTTACTGTTGAAATTACACTCCCTGTAGCTGTCTGGTCATTATGGTACAGTGTTTTCTTAATATGGGCAATCTTAGAAAGCTTACTAATTAAATAACTTATGAAAGCATTGAACAATACAGGTCTGATTAGGGGTGTAACGTTTCTCCAAATCCATGGTTCGGTTCATACCTTTTTTTTTTTTTCTTCTTTTCTTTTTTTTGAAAAAAAAAATTGTTAGATTATCTTAACTTCACATCAAATAACTGCGTACAAAATTAATTACATTGAATACTATACTGTACTAGATATCCAAAATGTTCCCACACCACTCGCATTTACCCGGGTGCCCTGCAGTGTCTGGGTTGTTATTTATCTTGGGATAGCCTAGTTTTTATCGCAGGTGTGATCACTCGATCATGGTTGGACCAAAACAGTCTCGCACGCATTTGAAAGACAATAAAATGTGTGATGTATAAATATGACAAAATATTCAGCTTGCCCTAACTTTAAATAGAATAATAATTTTGTGATTTACATGTTACAGTGTTAATTGCGAAATGGAAAAAAAACAGTTATAATATAATAATATAATTGAAAGCTCAACAGGTTGCACCTGCAGCAGTGGGTTGGGGTTGCGGGGGAGGTGGCTATCGTAGTTCAGTCATCCACAACCGCGACATGAGATTGTGAATATTGCCCTTAGGGCTGAGCAATTAATCAAAAATTAATCAAAACTGAAATTCATTCTTGCCCGTGTAGGTCACTTCATTTTTTTTTTTATTAATTCTGTTAATACTTAAAAGAGTCTGATACTTTCTTCCATGTGTGATCTTGTACTGTCCCCTTAAAAACATACTACCGCATGTGTTGTCACGTGACTCCGCCCCATCCAATCGGCGACATGGAATCAGCATAGAGGAGAATTCAAACACTGTGCCGACTGAGCAACTCGAGCAGCTTGTACCAAATAAAAATGCAGTGTCCATCGTTTGAACCCATTGTGGCTTTAGTGAAGATGACACTGAACAAAAAGAGGTCAAACGTAAGACAGTTTCAGCTACGAAATGTAATAGCACCAATCGGTTTCAACATTAGCAATATTTAAAATACAGTAGAAACTGCTTTTAGTGATCATGGTTATAATGATCAACCGCTTATATAGATCAAAAAGCTTGGGACAGAATCATTCCTGTACAAATACTGTTTAAATAATTCACTTATAGTAATCAAGTAGTCTGCTTACAGCGTTCATTTTGGGTCTTTTTAGAATCAGAATCAGACATATGGAAAAAAATTAAACTACTGTAATTCTTTATTTTATTTTTTTTACTTGCCTACTTTCCCTAGTGATAACCGGTCTGCTTCTGGCTAGCTACCTGAGGCTAATGCTGCATGCACAAAAAAAAAAAAGTGATTTTCTCTCAATTACGAATATGGACACATCAAAGTTATGATAAACTGCCAAAAACAAACCAAGGAGATGCAGTAGTAAAACTACAATAACTATATTTTATGTACAGTACTGTAGTGAATTGTGGTGTATTTGAATTATACATAGTTCAGTAATTTAATTTGTGCAGTACTGTAACTTAAAAAAAGCTGTAAGAGCGTTTGAAATAGCTGGACTACTTTGAAAGAGTCGACAAAATTCAGTAAATAGTGACGCTGTCAGTTTTGTTACCTTATACTCGTGTAATAAATACACAAACGTCAATTAGATGGTAATCTGCCTGAGACGTAAAAAGAAAAGAAAATCAATTATAATGATCATCCGCTTATATTGATCAATTCCACCCAGACAGACGTGATCACTATAAATGGTTTATTTTGTTTGCAAGAAATGCAAACTATTTATTTTCTATTTTTTTCCTAGGGAGCTTGCTTTTTACATTAAAATGTGACCTTTTTCATAAGATGTTCTCGTTTCAAGTGATTTGTGCCTTGATTTCTGTCGTTCAAATGATTCAATGAATAACCATAAATGTGTTTCCTTCCATTACTTTAAAATCATAGATATACAGTCTTTCAATAGAAAAAAATATCCCATCTTTAATAGTTGAGCATATTCACAGTACAAACTAAATGAAACATGAGGGCAAAAAACAAAATAATCATTCATTAATTGTAAATGAGGTAAAATTATTTAATCGTGATATTGATTTGAGATCATATTGCCCAGCCATACTTGTTCTCCCATAATGCCTATAGTTAATGTGAATGAGCTGCCCGTGCGCTCTGCAGATCACAGAGACGGAGAACATGATGGATAGAATCGTCAGCGGCCTGTCCGAGTCCAGCATCAAGGTGCGGCTGGCGGCCGTCAGGTAAGCGCACTGCCATCCCTCTCGCTGCCGATTGTAACCTGGGCTGTGATTTGATTTTCGGCTCCTGTTGTCATTTGCTTCCTCCTGACTGAGGAGCAGTGTTTGCAGGTCACCAAAGATGACCTCCCTGTGTTTCTTTGTCACTCTGCCCAGGTGTCTTCACAGTCTCTCTCGCTCAGTGCAGCAGTTAAGGACGAGCTTCCACGACCATGCCGTGTGGAAACCCCTCATGAAGGTGTCTGTCACGTGCCACCTTCATGTTCTCTGCACCTCACTGTAACTGACAGTACCCCTCTGCGTTCCTGTGAAAATAATTGTCCCTTTTGAAAGTTTTACTTCCACAAGAATCTCCTGAGGGCAGAAGGAAAAATGATTGGCTCAGAGAGATAACCAGTCAGATTGTAGAGGAGGTGGGCCCAAACAGCTAGATGAGGCAGGACCAACCAATCAGATATCTTGCCCTCAGAACATTTTTGTGTAAGTAAAACTGCGACGAGCATAATTGTCATGGTAGTTTTCCGGATTTTTCACCAGAGCACAATGTGACCCTTTTATGTTCCTGTACATGTCTGAAAGCCAAGGAAGGAACCTGTGCAGTTAATTTTGAGGTCTATGTTGAGTTGTTTCGGTTTCAGGGATGGTAGGCCCAAGTCAGTCCTCTGCTGTCCCATGTATCTTGGAGTCTTATGAGGCTTTTCACTGCATCCCGCCCTCTTTTCACCATACGTCCGCCCTCACCGTGCATCTGTCCCTGCAGCTACTGCAGAATGCCCCTGATGAAGTGCTGGTCATGGCCTCTTCCACACTATGCAACCTGCTGCTGGAGTTCTCCCCCAGCAAAGAGGTGCGTTCAGCTCCTGCGCTGTGCTGCTGCGCTGCCGGGACCCCGGCAGCACGGGGCTTCCGTTTCACACGCAGACTCCCGGCTTTTTTGAAGCCCTAGTAAAAATGGCTTCATCCAGTAAATCTGAAGAGGAATTTCAGCATTGCTGTTTATTAATTCGCTGTTCTAAACCATGGGTGTGTTGGTGTGTCTTCCCAGCCCATCCTGGAATCAGGAGTGATCGAGTTGCTCTGCAGTCTGACCCAGAGTGACAGTCCTGCGCTGAGGGTCAATGGCATCTGGGCCCTCATGGTGAGATTCACACTGGTTCACCTGAGGGGCTTGTTAACTGTACATGCTGTTCAGATTTACCCTCATGGGGAAGTTTCTGGGAGATTTCTGCAGGAGCGCAGACTGGTGCATGGAAGGTAAATGGCTTCATTGGATCAGGCCGCTCACCCTGCTCTGCTGCCGCAGAATATGGCCTTCCAGGCAGACCAGAAGGTGAAGGTGGAGATCGTGCGAGCGTTGGGCACAGAGCAGCTTTTCCGCCTGCTGTCAGATCCCGATGCCAACGTGCTGATGAAGACTCTGGGGCTGCTCAGGAACCTGCTGTCCACACGCCCGGTCAGACCTGCAGAGAGCCGTCTACGCGCAGACGCACTCACATACAGGCAGAAATACTTGCGCATACATACATGGCCACGCAGACATCCTCGCACACATACATGGACACGCAGACGTTTTCGCCTGCACATACATGGAAACGCAGACATACTCGTGCACGCAGACGTATTGTCGCACACATATATCGACAGAGTCCTACTTTGGATTTCGTCCTCAACTACTGATCCTTACCCATTCAGATGTCAGTGCCCGTTACTTTTGATCACAGTGTATAAATTTCCTTGTTTGTTTCTTAAAGATGTGACCAGTGTTATAGTTTCGGTTTTCTAAATTTAGCTTTTCTTTTTATATTAATTTTTATTTAGATTTCAGTGTGGTTTTATTAGTTTTGTATTTTTAAAATGTATTTCTATTTAGTTTTTGTATATTTCAATTTCAGTTTAAATTGATTAAAATTTAATTTCTAGGGACAGTTGTAGAACTATTTTATGTGTCTGATCGTCACGTGTTCCAGGTATTTTAAACGGTAATTAAAGAAACAAATCATTACTTCAGATAAGTTGTGTTTAACAAAGCAATAAAAGAATGTTTTTGATGTCTGTGTATTTTATGTCAGTTAGTTTTGGAAGCAGTGTTTATAGATTTTGTTTAGTTGTAGTTTATTAGTTTACTTTCATATTTTATTTCAATTTACAAAAATGTTTTCTTATAGTTTTACCTTTCGTTAGTGATTACAACCCTTTCAGAAGTAGGACATATTTGAGAATATCAGAATCATGTCATAACAAATTACCAAAAAAATTCAAACGCACCTTTTGAGAAGCATTCCAGTGTAAGCACACACTGGTGTTATCGAAATAACTGGAACCAGTGCAAAATTCTGGATGAATGTTGAATGCATACATGGGCTGAGAGTGTGATTTTTGCCATCACAGTGAGTGGAATAAGTGTCTGTCTCTCTGTTTTCCAGCATATTGACCAGATTATGAGCTCACATGGCAAACAGATAATGCAGGCAGTCACCCTGATCCTGGAAGGCGAGCACAGCATCGAGGTCAAGGAACAGGTCGCGTCCCGCCCTCTGCTGTTCTCTGACTAGTCTGCTGGCTCTCGCTCCAGCCGTCACTCATTAGTCAGACCTTAATGAGTCTGGCCTCACACTTTGTGGTTTGCATATGCTCCACGTCTCTGGTACATTCCTCTGACTGTAGCTAATGAGCAGAGCACTGCCTCTGTCACTGTACTCTGTCACAATAGGCTTGTAACAGAAGATGATCTCCCTTTCAGACGTTGTGTATCCTGGCCAACATCGCTGATGGCAACACGGCCAAAGAGCTCATCATGACGAACGACGACATGCTGCAGAAGATCAAGTCTTATATGGTAGCGTTCACCTGCACATGTGCTGTCACGTCCCCCTAGCTTCCCTGACACCTGACAAGCCCCCTCCTCTCTTACTCACCCTCTCAGGGACACTCTAACGTTAAGCTGCAGCTGGCTGCCACCTTCTGTGTCTCCAACCTCATCTGGAACGAGGAAGACGGTGAGAGGGGGACTCGATGGCAGGTGGTCACGTGGGGGTGGGGGGGGTGGACCAGAGGGGGGAGGGAGGTGGGGCTCTGTGGGTGGCTCTGGTAGAAGGGGAATGTTTATGGTATTACTGTATATGGGGAAAAGCCAGTTACATGAACACTGTTGCTCTTCTGTTGTCTCCTTCATGTACTGTTCTCTGTCTTCAGCACTTCCCCTCTGTCTGTGTCCAGGATCCCAGGAGCGGCAAGACAAGCTGAGAGAGATGGGCTTCGTGGACATTCTGCACAAACTCACCCAGGCCTCGGACCCCAGCCTGTGTGACAGGTCCTTCTGCTTTAAAGTCTAGTGTCTCCTCTCAGACTGAGTCTAATGTGCAGTTTAACGAAGGCATGGATTAAAGAGCGTGGCACTTACATTCCTAGCAGCATCATTTATTTATGTTACAGGTTAAGCAGTGCTAGGAAAAGAGAGTTTGAAGTTCACCACTCTGTGCTTTTGAAGTGTTCTAATGTTTCATTGCTGACCAGCAGCAGTTTGTTCTTGCTATCTTCCAGGGCGAAAACTGCCATGCAGCAGTACCTGGCCTGACTGCGAGGATGGCAGAAAGAGGAAGTCACTACCCACCAATCACTGGGAGATCGCCTTTCAGATTCCCCCACTCCCTTCTCTAAATTTTTTTTTCCCCAACCATTTTGTTTTGTTGCACAAGACACCTTTTGAGTTGTGGCACAAACAGCCTCTTCCCCTGCCCCTCTGCCCCCCTGGGCCCCAGGACTCGTAAAGAACGTAAAGAAGAAGAAAAGCTGTCGGGCACGATGCTCTCTTTTTACTTGCCAGCCGGATTGTTGAGGATTTAGTTTATTTTTTCTTTGTGGACATGATGTTGAGATGTGTGTGCGCACGTGCGTAATGAACTGCACGTGCGTGCATGTGTGTGTGTGTGTGTGCGCGCGCACGTGTGCAATGAACTGCACGCGTGTGTGTTTGTATAATGGACTGTGCGTGTGTGCATGTGTAATGGACTGCGTGTGTGTGGCACTTCCTGGGGGCTGTGGACTCATCATGGACTAGATGATCTGGATGCTGCTGCACTTTGATTTCAGACAGTAGGGGGAGAGGTGGAACTGGGGAATACGTGTTGCCTCTTCATTAATTTAATTATTGTTATTATAACTATTGGTAGTATTATTTTATGTTTTGGGGAGGGGGGGTGCTTAAATGATTGCTTGTTTTTGGATGGATTCTTTTCAATTTGTTTTGGTTGTGGAAACATACCTCAGAATATATATAAATATATAAATATATTTTTTGAATTGTTTTCCCCCTCAGTTTTGTTTTTGTGAATATTTGTTTTTTTTGTTTGTTTTTTTTTGTTTTTTGTTCCTGAAATATTTCCTGTCTGTGAGGACAGATATGTGATGGAGGAATGAAAATGTGTGGATGTGGGAAAATAGAGAGAGCTTTGGGTGCAGCAGGGGTGTGGTAAATACGGCAGTGTTGGGGGGCTGTTTTTATATGGTTGTTTCGTCTGTTTTGTAAGAGATGGCCTCACCTTTGGCTTTTTTTGAAGCTCTTAGAGAATGAATGAATCAATGAATGTCATTGAAATATATGCAAGCAGACTGATGGAGTCCGAGTGATGCAGCTTCCTTTTGTTTGTGCAGTGTCACCATTGGTGATTCTTCTAGGATCCCTACTTTCAAATTACAGCTGCACATAAATCATTTGCCACAAAGTCTTTTCCCATCACTGTAAGAATGAAGATTGAATTAAGCCCCACTTGACAGGGCACCCACCTAATTAAAACTAAATTATGCTTCTTTATTCATGTTATTTTGATGAAATTGTACTTCCTTAGCAACATAATAACTCTAACTTCAGTCAGTAGCAATCTTGATGTTTAGTTCTTACCAAATAAACATGGCTAGTTTGCCTACAGCATCCCCGAGACAACACAAAAAAACCTGTATTCTTACAAAATATCTTTATTCATGAATGGATTCTTTTAAACTTCATAACTGTTACTAAAATACATCTTTAACCCTGGTGTTACAAGCAGGCACGTTCCACATGCAGGAAGCTGTGACATGCAAATAATCCCTACGCTCCTATCCACCATCACCCCCAACCGGAATCGTAATATCCCCCCCCCGACACACGCAAGGATGGACTCATCACACACTACACACTGAACAAAACTGCAACAAGCCATGTTTGGACGGTATTTATTATAAACCCAGGAAATGCATCCCCTACAATCTGACGCTACATGCATCCTGTGCTTTCTCACTGCTGGGCAGCTCTCTGACGCAGTGATGCTGGGTGACTGCAGGCCCTGTTTACTGGCCTGCACTGGGTGTCCTGTAATTAAGTGAAGTTCAGCCTCCTTCAAGCAGCCTGCCCACTGATTGGCAGAGACAGTGGCGCACTCTCCCTCTCCCATGGCCGTGACCACACTGGCGCTTCCACAGCAACCGAGGAAACCAAACGCATTCTCTAATGACGGCTAGATAAGCGCCAATGAGTAAGTACAGGTTAATGTGACATGGAGGAGTGGCTGCAGTTCTGATATGTTAGTCGCACAAATCAGCTGTTTTACGTGGTACGAGAGAAGGCACAAATGGCAAGATGGCTACAGCCTGGGATCCATATGGCCAAATACAGATTCTAATTTGATCACCTAATCCAGGGGGGGGGGGGCTGGTGTGTATGCGGGTTTTCGCTGCAACTCCCTAAGTAGATTACTAATTAGAGGACTGATTGGCTGAAGAGTCCTCACACCTGGGTTTGAACAGCAGACCTACAGGTTATCCCAGAAACCTGCATACACACCGGCCCTTTGCGGATAAGATTGGCCACCCCTGACCTAATCGCTTCCCATACGCGGATGACACACCTCCCCCAAGCCGAAGTCTTGCTGTAGGCTGGTGTTTATATCATTTTCAATCTAAAAGCTTTTTCGATGCAAATACAGTTCTAATGATTGTCTAGGTGTGTTCTGTAGGGTCCAGTGCAATCAAGGAGCCCTGACACATACTGGCAGTGGCTTTGTGTGCTGACGCATGTTCAAATTAGATATTTTCGCAAACATGCTTTCTTTCTCCGAAGCATTTCTATAAAGGGCTTTTTTTTCCTGATGGCTTGTTCCCATAATTTGTTGGCAGGTGGGCTTAGGTAGGGTGAATGTGTAAAAGCACCTGATCATAGCTTGTCTGAAACAGTAAGTCATAGGGATGTTTCTTATATTTTTTAGCAGGTGTAACTTCTTTTAAAAACAGGTGGAAGAGACTGTTTCCACATCACAGAGTGGCCAAGCATACAAGTTTCTCACCATGTGTACAAAATCAAAGTGATGCATTTGCCGAAAGGTGTGTATTGCTTCAAAAAAGCAACTACTGTATATCTACATCTTTGGGTCAAGAGTAGCTACTGGAATGAGGATTGGAGTCTTGGCTGTTTGTTGACTGACCCTACAGGTATGTCTGAAAACTTGGCACCAGCCCTAGACCAAAGCTGTCTAATTGTTGTTGCTTCTTTGAAACCAGAATTGTAGTTAAGGTTGTACATCAGCTGCTAAGGTTACTTTTCCCTTCACACCCTACTGTGCTGCCCTCATAGCTCACAGCAGAAATGCTCTCCCCAGGGGTCGAACCACGACTGAGGGTGCAGTGGCTCGTGTTGGTGCCCGCTGGTGGGTGTAATCGGAGGAGCCAGCATCCGGTCAGGAACAAGGGAAGCCCATCCCCGGCTCTGCTGTGATGCCACCACCGATTAAGGAGAGAGAAATGGGACGGCGACAGGTGATGCCCTTCCTGGCATGTGAAAGCCCTGGAGAGGGGTCTTCAGAGGATCTCTGATGTGATGGTAGATGTTCCTCTGGATGACTTGAGCTTCTGCTCAACTCTGCTGCTCAACTCATCTTTCTCCATCGGTGCCACTGCCTCCTTAGGGTGGGCCCTCCTCGTCAATGAAGCTGATGTGTTCCGTCTGAGTCCCCCACTCCTGCATCTCCATGGCCAGGCAACTGGCTTCCCGGCTGGGGGGGCCCTGCACGCCACTTCCGGGTTTCTGAGGCCAGAACGAGCTGACAGCAGCCTGCGCCTCTTTGAGAGAGTCCAGTGAGCTGGGGGAAAGGGGGGAGGGGTGGGGGCAGGATGGCGGGGTGCAAGGAGGGGGTGGGATCACAGGTGTGGAAAATGAGGAGGTGGGGCTGACCCGCTGCCGGTGGTTGCCGGGAGAGCTGTTGAGGGATGGGGGGGCAGAGCAGTGGCTGATGTGGGCCAGGGTCGAGTCCTGGGATGCCAGAGAGGGGTGAAAGACCCTGCCACTCAGATGGGAGAGGTGGCGGTCCTGGCGGGGGGAGAGGGACAGGGATGGGGAGGGAGATGAGGCGATTGACAAGGAGAAGGAGAGAGAGGGCGAGGTGGTCCGGGAGGCTGTGGGTCTCTCTTCCTGATGTCCATGTCCAGTAAGAGAAGACTCCCCCCCAGAGGTTTCTTCTCCAGACGATGCTGAAGTGGAGGGAGGGAGGCACTCGGAGCAGCCAAGCAGGGGCACATGTGCCTGCAGGGCGGCTTTCTGAGGCGCGGTGGAGGGCACCAGGCAGCCTGGCAGGTCTGCCCCACCGGTCTCCAGTCTGTCCATCAGAGAGCAGGACGCTGGCCGTGGCGAGCAGGGCGGGGCTGGGGGTGGGGCCACGGGGGGGCTTCCGACCGAAGGTGCACTGGCACTGCTGGGAGGCGGAGTCATAGCGGGCGTCAGGGCTGACAGGATGGGCTGGGAGCTGAGGAGGAGGAGGGGCCTCAGGAGACGTGTCATTTCCTGCAGTTCCAGGCTGAGCTTAGACACCTGTTGGGAAAGACTTCCCATCTGCAGAAGAGGGGGACACAGGACAAAGACTCACAGCCAGCACACAGTCACAGCAGCCAAAGCTGCCCGCTTCCTGTCCTGCGCTTCTGTGTGCCGTTAATTTCCCAACTCCGCTGTCACCACAACAGTCAAATGGAGGTTCCTCCATACTCCTCATCTCAAGTAAAATAAAATGTAGACGCCCTCTATAACTCCTTACTTATTTCTGAGCTTATCCTCAGTACACTAGGCACCTGGGTGTGGACGTTCATGGGACTGTGCTGCTGCGAGGGAGCCGGAATAAACCTGAACTGAACCTGAATTGACGAGCGGACATGGACTGAGGGACGGGCACCTTTCATTTTGGTCAAGTTGCCAGTTAGAAAATAAACCACGGCGATTTCATATATGTATTTCTATATACCTCACTGTAATGTGTTTTTTTTTATGAACATGGCCTGATTGTTCCTCTCCCCCCCTTCAGATCATACAGATCTCCACACACTGTTCTGCCCTCCCGGTGAGATAATAGCCTCGCCATCTCAATCTGTACTTTAAAATGGCTTTTACACCTTGGGTAAAATCTCCCGTATCACAGCATGTCTTGTCACTTCATTTGGCTAAAGCCCCGGTACTGATGTTCCTTCGCACCCAGCAGGCCAGCGTGTCTGATCTCAGCGCCTCATCTAATTGCAGTGCTTAATCTCCCTCTGCAGGCACTCTGTTACATTCAGCTGCCTGGCTGCAGTGGTCATTTCTAAAACAGCGGCTGCGAGTGGCCTTCAGGCGTGTGCTCGAACGGCTCGCTCACCTCTTGACTGAGCTTACTGATGCTCTGCCGAGTTTCCACGTGCTCCTGGCTCTCTGCACACGCAAACACACAACACGGGCTCGATGAGGGAAACACACCGCTCGCATGCTTCTGCCAATCTACTATCGGCTTCATTTTAGCCTACATATTTACGCTAATTCTACTGGGTGATGCATATAACAGACGAGACTGGGAGGCTAGATGCAAAGAATTACAAATGGAAATAATATTATAGCAGGGGATGTGGAACAGGATAGAGTGAGTGAGAGAAAGGAGAGTGGAAGCAGCAGAAGAACCGCCTCATTAGCCATATGGAGGAAATATGTGACAGATGCCAGACGTGACAGATGCCAGATATGTGACATGCCAGAATCTCTGCGCAGGTGTTAGAGGCTGTGGATGCTCTGCATGCGGCGGCTCCCGGAGTCTGCATGAAGCTGAATGGCTGTACGTGTGGGTGTGAGCAGAAGGTGGTGCGTGACCGCTGGGGTACCTGGAGCAGGGGAAGCGGGTCTGCTCTGGGCCAGGCTGGTGCTGAACTCGAACTTCTGCGCTGAGCTGGGATTGCCTTCTGTTTCGATGCCATCCACAAATCTGCCATGACAGTGAGGGTAAAAGAGGGCAGTGGAAAAAGGAATTTTACTCAGAGGAAAGAGTAGTGGAAAAGAACTGCAAAGAGGAACTGTATATAGAGAAAGGAATGACAAAGACATATGGGGGAAAAAATCTTTCTTGTCTGGGCTTTTTTGTGTTTTTATATTAAATTTAAGCACATTTGTCCATTATGAATACTTATCAAACAGAAACACCCACGATGAACCGTACGTCAGCTGTTATGATTAATGAAGGAAAATTTTATGAAGTGTCTCACTTTGATTTCTGAATTCAGCCTTTAATGCATCAGTAGACTGTAATTAAACACAATCAGTGCACAATAGCCTGTTCCTTTATGTCCCACACCTTCCCCCTGCCGATAATCGCAGGCCTGGTTGCTATGGCAGCTGGACAGGGAGGTTTGAAGTGCAAAAATAGCACAATTCTTAATATGACCACCAGATGGCAATGTGGGATCTAGCGAAAAAATGATCAGTCCACTGTGGTCTGGGAAATAACTGATATAACTCAGGTCCATGTCTTTAGACTTTAATGGCCTCCGTGATAATGCACGGATACAATTTAAAAATAAAACAATTTACAGAGCTCTTCAAAATGATCACATTAAATGTAGATTAATGGATGCAATGAAAAACTTTATTCATAATCTCTCCTTCCATCTTGCAATTTCCTGCGTAGGGCTGTGAGAGGTATTCAGAGTATTTCCTAATAAACAAATAATTGCCAGTACTGACTTCATTTTCTCTGTTTGTGGGAGGAACTGTTGGCAACTAGATAAAGGCAAACGTGCCAGTTAAGCCTGGTCTTTGGCTGCCCTTATAATGTTATAATTTCTTATCATTTCATCTGTCTCCCATAACTGCTGATCCAGTGAGATGAGCTTGAAAGATTATTATTTTCAGTTTACCTGTAACAATACTGCTTATCTTATCTCTTGTAGAAAGATGCTCATTCACTTCCAGTGCCCTCCATCCAGGTGAGAATGACTTTCTGTCCAGCTTACATGAGAGCTTCAGATCTTCTTGTAGTTTTGCTCTGTAAAGCCTATGCTAAGGCTTCTGTTACTGCTAGGCACAGCAAAGGCCCGGCGTTCATACATCCGCTGTTCTGCCACGTTCTCAGATAATGCCCCTCTTGGCCTTTGAGGTCACATGATGAGAATAATCGCTGCCATTTTTATCACCGACCCGGTCAATAATTTCTTCAGGACACCCAGATGGTCGTCACCCAACGGCAATTTGGCAGTATGACATGGAGCCGAACCAAGGAAGCACAGGGCACAAGCCAGAGACACCCTCTATGGGATACCCAGTGTGTTGCATGGCATTAATATACACATTCAGTGTAATGCAGTTGTGGGTTAGCTCTGCTTCCCTTCTCAAAAACCACAAGCTACACTGATAAGGCTCATTGACTTATTGGAACAGTCATTAGGATTCATGTGACTTCAGCCAGTGTTTCAGGTGTACATCAGGAGTTAATCTTTATTTTACAGGAGTGTCTTCTGTATTTGTTCAGCTTTAGGGTCGTTGGTATTTCCAGCATTTACAATGTTTCCCAAGACACCGAAAGTATGAAAGGCGTTACCGGTTATTCTCCTTACCGGGGGCTGAGCTCTGGGGGGGCACTAGCGAGGCTGACCAGGGGGATCTGCAGGGTGTTGCTCTTGGCCTGTTCGCGGAATGGGCGGGGCGGCAGCAGCGGGGAGCGCAGGGGTGAGCTGAGTCCGCGGGCGAGGCGCAGCGGGGAGCGAGGGGCCCGCGGACAGGGGGAGCGCTCAGCTTCATCGCCCTCTTCGTCCTCCTGGATGGAGGGCAGCTTCTTCACTAACCCGCCGTTGCTCTCCCAGTCCACCTGGGGTAGATGGGTGAGGTGGGCAGGGCAGGAAAGGGGAAGAAAAGGCGGTGAGTGAAAGTGAGGACAGGATGGCAGCTGCCAGGTTAGCAGGGTCTTTAATAATATATCATGATACACACACACACACAAGCCAGAAGAAAAATACATCAAATATTTAAGTTTTAGATTAAATATGATCAGCGGGCTCAGGCCAGTTGTTCTTTTGCTCTTCTGCACACATTTCATTTTGCTCCTTCCCCCTGCAGCCTTAATGCCTAAATAAAATATGACCTGCTGATTGGCATCTAAGACCAATTAAGGAAGTGGAAATAAACAGAGGGAATTAACATGCAGATCAGCCGGAGTGGCGCAGAGGCGGGGCCCGGGACTGTCCAGGCTGGAGCAGCGCGGACAACCAGCAGAAAGCCATGCAAAGCAGCAGACGAGGGACAGACGGAGGACAGCAAGCTGCCATACGATCCGTCAGTCATAGATTATAAACATAAGTTATGGCCGCTATCATCTCCTGTTCCTAACCTCACTTGGGACAAAAGCACCTGTTGTAATGTAAACCTCATCTCTTGCGTATCACGGGCATATTTATTCTCAGTATATTTCCTCTCGGTATATTTCTCTCCTGTGTCTCCTCTGAATACAGATCCCATTTCTCATTTTCACTGGAGCTGCCTCTTCCTGCTCCCCCCCCCCCCCAGCAGTAGTATATTTTTAGCACTCATTGCCCAATCTTAAGGCACCCTGTGTGTCTGCAACACTCACGTGTCTTGGTTGACATGCCTCAGCATAAATCAATGCTCTCTTGTGTGTGTGTGTTATGTGGAAATATTACAAATGACCAAATAAAAACCTATTAGTTTGACATGGGAATCTCAATTTTATAAAAGTCTGTGATTGCAATCAAAAAACTAAAAATGCCACAAGTCTTGTATTTTGTTTGCTTACTTATGATTATGGATAGGGGTTAAGGATTTTATAGTTGGGATTAGGGTTATGCTCATAGAAATGAATGGGGAGTCCCGACAAAAATAAAAAATGTGTGTTTGTGAATATGCTTGTGTGTCTCAGTGTGACAGGTTAGGGACACGCTGCAGTATTTATCTGTGGACCGTCGGGGGGTCCCCTAGGACAGGTTAGGGACATGCTGCAGTATATATGCGTGGACCCTCGGGGGGTCCCCGAGGACAGGTTAGGGACGCGCTGCAGTATTTATCTGTGGATCGTCGGGGGTCCCCTAGGACAGGTTAGGGACATGCTGCAGTATATATGCGTGGACCCTCGGGGGGTCCCCGAGGACAGGTTAGGGACACGCTGCAGTATATATGTGTGCACCGTCGGGGGGGGCCCCGAGGACAGCTTAGGGACACGCTGCAGTATATATGCGGGGACAGTCGGGGGGTCCCCGAGGACAGGTTAGGGACACGCTGCAGTATTTATCTGTGGACCGTCGGGNTTAGGGACACGCTGCAGTATATATGCGGGGACAGTCGGGGGGTCCCCGAGGACAGGTTAGGGACACGCTGCAGTATTTATCTGTGGACCGTCGGGGGTTCCCGAGGACAGGTTAGGGACATGCTGCAGTATATATGCGTGGACCCTCGGGGGGTCCCCGAGGACAGGTTAGGGACACGCTGCAGTATATATGCGTGGAACCTCGGGGGGTCCCCGAGGACAAGTTAGGGACACGCTGCAGTATATATGTGTGCACCGTCGGGGGGGGCCCCGAGGACAGGTTAGGGACACGCTGCAGTATATATGCGGGGACAGTCGGGGGGTCCCAGAGGACAGGTTAGGGACACGCTGCAGTATATATGCGGGGACAGTCGGGGGGTCCCCGAGGACAGGTTAGGGACACGCTGCAGTATATATGCGGGGACCGTCGGGGGGTCCCAGAGGACAGGTTAGGGACACGCTGCAGTATATATGTGTGTATATGTGTACTGCTCTGCACTGCTGTGCGTAAGCGTGCTGTGAGCATGGTCCCTAAAGAGCTCTTTGTCTCCCTCTCAAAATAATATATAATATTTGCCTGCTCTTCACCTCCCTACCTGAGTCCTCTACTGTTCATCTCAGGTAAAGCCTCCTGTCAATAAACAGTGGTGATACTGAATAAACACCAGCTCTGACTAGCCCTTTGTGCAGCAGAGAATGCCTGTCACCATTCAGGGATTCCTAATCATGTTTGCCGGCACCGTATACCGTGGCTGTTAATTAAAATGTAAGAGTGGGGGGGAGGATTTCCGGGCTCTCATCTCCGCACTTCAGCTCTTCGGCGAGGAATCGGGGACGGAGGGTGGGTCTCTGGCTGGAGCGGCAGGCGGGAGGAGCGAGGAGAGGTTTCCCGGCTCCTCGTCTCTCCTTCTGTTCTCCCCCGACACAGAGCTATTTATATCTGTCAGCATCTAATCTTAGGTTGCGCAGCAGGAGGGGGAGGCACACGGGTGGTCGGGGGGGCAGCCCCAGCCTCCCTCGCTGCTATTCTTAGCAAGGCGAGCATGTCCACAGCAGCCGGGGGCTGCTATTCCTGGCAGTGGGAGAGCGAGTGAGCGTGTGTGTGTGTGCTCGCGCTTGACTGTCAGACAGAAAGTGACAAAGTCTAATAATGTATGTGCTACTGATCTATCGCAGGACACCTAGACTCCACTATAATTTGCCTAAGATTCATTGCTGGTACCCCCATGTTACTCACGTCGGCCCCGTGGCCCTCGCGCAGGTTGTAGGTGAGGTCGTGCTGGATCTCACTGACAAACTTCTGGGCGTATTCAGGATACAGGCGCAGCACCTCGCGCAGCCCCCTCAGGCTGATGTACTGCAGGTCGCAGTAGGTGAGCGCCTTCACATTGGCGTTGGTCTTTATCACCTGCTCCTTCATCAGCGAGTCGGAGCCAATCAGGTCGCCCTTGCCTGGGGGGATGCAGACACCACTCATCAGTCAGGTCGCCTCAGCCAGGCACAGATTTACAAGCAGAGGGCCAGAAGCTCTGCCTCCTACACGCAGACATGCGTGTCAATCTGGCTGCAAGAGCAGGATTCTTCCACTTGAATGCATAGACCTTGGGGTGAAAATGGTATATTTAGACACATTACAAGGCAGATGTTACAGGGCTGTTTAAGAAAGAAGCATAAAACGACACACGGGTGATTCAGGAGTCTCTCGGAGCCAGACAACATGTTCTGTATGATGTTTGATGAGATGCTGCATGATGTTCTGAGTGTTTATGAAAACGTGGCAGCATCCTGTTGCTTATATTCTCTGATTTCACTGAATCATACGTTCACGCACATTTCGCTGGCAATCGTGCCAAAAATCAATATGCGACTTTAAATTGACATTTGTTTTTAAATTGCACTGCTTTACTTAATCATGAAAACACCGGCATGACACAGGCATGCAGAGATTCACAGAGGGTCGGACCTTAAATAGTCTTTGTTTAATTAAAAAACCAGGTTGGCATACTTGTGCCATCGTACCTCACACACGCACTGCAGAAGATGCCTCCATTTTGGTCTATAGAGGAAGACGGTGAGAAGAGGCCCAGATGGTGCCACAAGGGGAGGAGTAAGAGAGCTGTGATTTACACGCAGGCAGTGGGGGGGAATCGCGCAATGGGCCCGGCTGCAGAATTCAGCATTACACAACTATCCCCATCAGCGCTGAAGGACGAACAAGATGGACCAGATAATTCATCACTGATTCGATCTGTAAGGGATCCACCCGTTTAAATCACACAGGTGGTGACAGAGGCTGTATGTCGCTGCCATGTTTCATTCTGGTGTTTTTTCATTCCCTGTTTTCAGTATTTCTAACAAACAGATCAATGAGCTTCCAGTTTGTCCTGCCAGGATCAATCATATCAATTATTCATAATATTTAATTATGCAGGGTGGATGAATTCTTAAACAGGAAAAGCACGCGGTTCTGCAGTGCGGCACAGCAATCAGCACTGCAAATTAATGTGACATCTGTAAATGCTGCAGGCAGCACAACTTCTGCACCTGTGAGATTTTGTGTCTACAGTGTAGTATTGAAGTACTGAGTGCAAAAATCCAAATTCATTATTCACCCAGAGAGCTACATTGTAACCATGGAGCCCATTAAAATATCAATTTAATGTCCTCCTATGGTATCAGACCATTTGCATTTTTGATGCTCACTGTGGTTGTAAAATTATTTGAAGTCTACCCTTAGGAGATAAGATTTAAATTACATATAAAGAAAGGAAGGCTGTAGGATATGAAACGTGGAACAATCTTAGAAAAGGAATATTGAGATCAAAATATCTGAAGAATGCACTGTGGCTTGCTGGCTCTACACATCACACTATACAGTCACATCCCTGATCAAATTTAAATTATATCCAATGTGGTGCCGTTTTGACAGCAACGAGCTTCTCTTGCCACTTGCAAATGTTATGTTTGAGATGTCACTGCATTAATGCTGGATCGAAAACATGCTGGATACTGGAAACTGGATAGGAAGTCAAATACCAGTACTGATACCAACGCGGGAACAAGCCCCCTCATCTGCCTCTACAATCCCCCTACCACCTCAAAAATGTGCATACATGGATATAAAGAGGAATCAAATATGTAGCAGAGATTTTTTGAGTAGCATGCAAATGCTAAGGCAACCAAGGGAAACCCAGTCAGACAGAGAACGGTGCCAATCACACTGCCTCTGTTGTATGAGATACAGGTTATTATTGCAAACAATGAAGGAAGCAGATGGATTAAATCATTTATGCTCAATTAAGGTCACTGCATGGCTGTCAGTCATGAGAGCAACGTGTGTGTAAACACAACCCTCTTATTAATGGCAGCAGAAGGAGAGAGGGAAGAAGAGAAAAAAGAGAAGGTGGGGAGAGACGGATGGGGGAAAGTCAGGGGAGAAGAGCAAAGTGAGGAGGAGAAGCTTAGCTTGTCCAACTTGTGGACGACAAAAACACACATTAAAGATCCAACAAATTAGCTGATTTAAGGTTCTGATTTGAGTTTGTAGTGGGAGATTTGGGAACAAGAATATAGATCCATTCAAGACACCTTCAGGAAGCAAAAGCAGGGTGCCAGCTGACATCACCAGATGCCTGGATCAATTCCCTGTGAAATGCTTCTGTTTGATGGGGCATGATGTAAATCAGCCAATTACTGAGCTGGGGGTAACAGCACCAGCAAGCTACATAGGCCATGCATGGTTCAGCACCAATCAGCATTAAATGTACATGGCTCAGTAAAAGCACCATATTATATCAGCAGTGTTGGGGAAGTTACTCTTTCCGTTCCAGAAAGTATAAATCCAGACCAAGGTTTTGTTTCAACCAATCAGTTGCGTATAACGAGTCACAGTCACAGAGTACTCAACTGGTTGGTTGAAACAAAACCTTGGTCTGGATTTGTACTTTCTGTACCTGGATTTTCCAGCTCTGTCTGAAACACATTACTTTGGTGAGTAACTTCCTCAACACTGAATATCATCCATATTTGGTTCAGTAACAATGCTGTGATACATGAGCCACACTGAGAAGGGCAGAGGGCTAGTGGGGGCTCAGTAACAGTCCTGTCATTACTGTGCTACATCAGCCACACTCAACTTAACTTCAACGTTGTGCTACATTTGCTGCTCCAGGCTCCATGTAAAACTGCTTCATTAACCACATTCAGATGACTTTCTTAGCAGTTTTGTGCTAGATTAGCTTCACTTAGCACAGTTTCACTTTAGCTCTGGTCTGCTGGCTAGGGACTGCAGCCAAGAGCTGTGAACTGACTCTTGTGTGGAAAGGCTATACTAATTATGGTAGCGACAGTGGCTATGATAAATAAATGAGAGTGATAAGTTTAGCAGCCACCTGACTGAGCATCACTCAGCATCCTGTCGAGTCCCGATCCAGTCCTTTACCCAGCCTTGATGAATTGACCCCCTGCAAGTTGGCTGAGGTCTGCATGGGTCCAGAACACAGAGCAGCCCATTGTTATCTTTTGTGGCTCAGTGGGTTAGGTCTCTGTGATTTGGAAGGTTATTGGTTCAAATCCCACGAAAAATCCTTAACCCCCTTGCTGTCTCAGGGACTGTTTGATCCTGATTTCTTAAAAATGTACATTGCTTAGTATAAACCAATTTGCTAAATTAAATGTATAAATTAACATAAGTATCTTCAAATGGAAATCAAAATTTCATCCATATTAATTAACCTCAAATGAGTCTTCAGCATCCCAGCTTGAAGCAGGGGGGTTCCCCTCTCTTTTGATGTTGATGCCCCTGAGGATCCCCCCTCCCCCCACCCCCCAGCTGCCCCTTTGCAGGCAATTAGCAAACAGAATGCAGCCTAATTAGGCACATACCACAAACTAAACACCTTAGTTAATCATGTAACCCTTTCACTAGCTCTATAAATGTGTCCTGTGTTGCCTTTCCTCATTCCTCATTTTCCATATTAAAAAATAAGCATGGAAACTTGATCTTACAACAGGTCAAATAAAAAGAGCATTTAGGAATATTGAAAGTGATTAGATCATTGGGGTCTAATTCCAGGATGTGGCCTAAAATCATATGGTTAGAATACTATTCATCCTGAAGTTATAAACTCAGTTTCCTTTACTTCACAAAGTGCATAAAAATACCAGGAAATGTGTAGAAACTCGGCCATCAAATGAGGCTGATTGCCAAGCCGGTAACTGATAATATAAAAACCGTCATGATCAAAACTGCCGTGTCACACAGGAAAAGATGATTCATGCATTTCATTCCATAGTCCCATGTTATATCACTGCATACATTTTACCACGTTTTTAAAATGTAACAGCAGCAATGTAAAATTATTATGTGTTAGTGGGCCACATTCTGGAGCAGCATGTCCTCACATCCTGAGTGAGAGGCAGGTCGGGAAAGCAGTGCAATCCTCCTCATCTTTGGGAGAACTCAAGCCCATCTCTTCTTCCAGCTTGAGGGAGTGTCTCTATGCATGCCTATATGAATCTGTGCATGCATGTGCGAATCTGTGCATGCCTGTGTGAATCTGTGCATGCCTGTGTGAATCTGTGCATGCCTGTGTGAATCTGTGCATGCCTGTGTGAATCTGAGTAACATGGTGGCATACCCAGGATAGCCAGCACTGTGTTGTCCTTCAGCACCTCCATGGAACCAGAGCAGACAAAGTAGATGGCCTGCAGTGCATCTCCTTGGCGGATGAGGAACTCCCCTGGTGCACAGAATGATGTCTTGATGATGAGGGACAGGGAGCGCAGGCACCCCCTGCTGGCTGACTCAAACAACGGCAGTTGCAGCAGCTCCTTGTTGAGGTGCATGGCAATGTCGGCGCGCAGCTCATCTGGGAAGTCCTTCAGCAACTGCAAGAGAAAAGGAGAACATCCAACATCTCCCTCTCCAGGAGACCGAAGATGGTATGGGCGGTTAGAGTAGGACTGCATCTCCATAGTGCATAAGCAGCTGGAAGATGGATGAATGAATGGACAGGAGGAAAATGATGACAGTAGGAAAGCAGAATGAATTCGAGGGACCTTGCAGAGGAAACAGACTCAAATCAAAGAATGATTGATATGAAGAGACTGAACCAATGTATAATAAATCGTTTCTGGAAGCTGAGAAGGGTAACCAATGTAGGGAGTCAAACTGGGGCTGTGAAAGTTGACACGGCCCACCTCTCCGACATCAATGCCGTTGTTGACAGACCAGGTGGTCTGGAAGCACTCCAGCATGCGCTGCTCCAGGGCCTTGGGCAGCCGATGCACGCGAATGAAGTCCTTCAGGTCCTTGGTGCGCGTGTGGTAGAGCGAACGGCGCGAGTACATGCGCTGGATGATGGCCGTTACGTTGCCAAAGACCACAGCGTGCATCAGCGCTGTGGGGACAAGCAGAGCAGACAGCTTCAGCTTATGCTGATTGCCCCAGACGCGGTGTGTCCACGGGGCTGTCAGCGCTACCACTTCTAAAATTACTATCCCAAAGTTTAAATAGAAAGCTACTGGTTAAACAAGGCTTTATATAAACCCTCCCTAGGATCTGGGGCTGGGAATCTCTGGATCAGGCCAGCAGAAAATCTTATAGATCAGTGATTTGTGACTAAATTTGTCCTAAATCCCAACCTACTCATAAAATCAGGTTTGATCAACTTCTTACAAAATGCTCTAGATGACACATTTAAAGTATTAAAACTCTCCAGAGGTCTCACCTTTGTTTGTTTGCCTGTTAAAGTCTAAGTCACTGATTTTTTCATAAGCAAAGGAGAATAGTGTGTTTTTTTTTCCACCTGCTAATTTAATTGATTTTATCCTTTCAGTCTAAATTGCCATTTAGCCTAATTAAGACCAATCAATAATTCAGTTACTTAACCAGGCCATTAATCATTAATGAATCTATTTAAGACTGACCATATTTAAACGATATTATTTATTATTATAATCAGAAGCAGTAATAAAAATACGTTCCTCAAAAAAGCTTTCACACGGAATTCATTCATATTAACATTTGTGAAATCATAGCCTAATTTCGAAATGCCTTATTAAATGCAATTAAGAATTTGGTTATACTACGCATTCCTTCTCCATGAACCAGATTAGTCTAGTATTATTTATCTTACCTTTATTTTAAAGAGCTATGATGCCCATGTTTTCAGAAGACAGAGTGTCATTCATGGGCAAATCTGGAAAGCCCTTAAACAGTACATGCTTCAGTCGTCACTGCAGGGAGAGCAGCTGGCTGGCCTTCACATAATCATCGTTTTAAACCTCATTTCTTCATTTTACAGGGTAATCATAGGCCTTAAACATAGGATGTCACACTATATTCCTATATTCTAAAAACAATAAAATGTTATAATGTTATTTATTTTGTTGCTTTTCTATTTTACACTTATCCTTAATTATTCCTCTATACTGATGTCCATTACCCATATTACGTTTTCGTTACTCCTTGCTATATTGCTATATATGTCTTGTTTTGTACTGTACCACAGTTTGTCCTTCCTTGAGATGCGCTACTCTGCAAGTCTAGTATAAGGATTTTACTCTGTTCCTCGGAACATGTGACAAACAAACAAAAAAACTAGAAGCTAATATATAAACTAGTTTCGCATTAACTTAATAGGCAATAACTGCAGTTACCATAAATGTCTATGAGATTGCTCTTAAAGATTCATTCACATAATAGTTTTAATATTGGAATAATATTTTGTTAAATGTTTGTTTTTCAGTTCTCATTCTTTTGTCTCTTCCTATTTAAATGATCCAATAATTACCACTATCAGAATATCCTTATCATCCAGAATATCCTTCTCATCTAGAATACCCTTTTATCTTTCCTCACCATTATAATCGATGTTTCCCAGTTTACTTTTAGCTATTTATGTCTAAACTATTTCATAGGCGAAATTCATAGCAATGTAAGTATTCCACATTTTGTCTATTTTTACCAAAACAATCCACACAAAGTAACACTTCCTTTTACATATAATAAACAAGCATTTTATGTTTTCTTAGTTTCTGCATCATAACCGAAACCATATTTTATGCAATTATCAGTAACTAAATATACTGCTCTTTACATTTACCATTCATGAAGGATCATGAAAAACTGAGAATTAAAAACCAAAAAGGATCAATGTCATTTTACAAGACCATTGTCTTCATCATTATTCCGGCTGATGAAATTTCACTTTTTGTGCTCAAAGCAAATTTAGAAATGTCAGGGGTGTGAGATTTCTCAGCAAACTGTTTGTTCTCTCTGCACAAGGTGTACGCAAACTCTTGGATACTTCAGACATAAGGCTGGCAAGAACGAAAATAATTTTTTATTATGAAAACAAAAACAACAGAGGAGTACATGACAAAGAAGGGGAGTCTGGAGAAACAGAGGCATGACTTTAAAATGTAAAACCATTCCTAACAGACACACAACAAAGAATCAATCAAACATTGATTTGGATGTTAAGTGAGGAACTGCATGGATGCTTAAGGGGAATTCCCAATAGTCTACACTGTGCTGTACCTACATACATAATAACCATGGAAATAAGCACACAACAAGGCAATGGATAATGCTGCAACTATGTTGTTTATAGGGGATCTATTATGCTTATCCGGTTTTTCCCTTTCCTTTAGTGTGTTATATAGCTTCATTTGCATGTAAAGCGGCAAAGTCTTAAAAGCCCCAAAATACACGCCAAAAGGAGTAACTTCTAGCACAGGAACCACTCGTCTGTAATTGCCTGAAACACCTCATTGGAATTCTGGCCCTTCTGTGCCATAGTGAGGTCACCTCATAAAACAATCCTTATCGGCCACCTACCTGCAAGAATCTGTTTGCAGATTGCAAGACAGGGGCAGAACGTGTAGGGCAAGCTGACCAATCAGGTTAGGCGACCAATCAGAGCACACTGGGCTCATCAGGGGTGGGACTTTACATTCTAAAAGTGTTTCAGACAGAGGGTCAATAGAGATGTATAGTATGAAAAAATAATGTGTCTTTGGAAATAAAATTATGAACAGTGAAAATTAACTTAATCAGTCCCATTTAAAGACAACAGGTACTATAACTGCTTTAGCGAAAATCCTGGTCTGTGAATAAGCAGTGGAATGATCTTCAGGACTGGTGTTTTCTTACTGCACTCCTGCTCTGTGTGCATGGAGATTGCATGCTCTCCCTGTGTTGCGTGGGCTTTGCCGTGGGGTAATTTGGTTTCCTCCCACAGTCCAAAGACACACAGGAAGTGAACAGGCACCTTTAAATTGGTCACAGTGTGTGTGGGTGTGCCCTGTGATGGACTGACAGCTTTCCCAGGGTATACCCTTGCCTTGTGCTCTCTACTGCTTTGGATTGACATCAGTCCCCCTACCGCTCTGCCTATGAACATATACTGGATATGCGACTGGAAGATGAATGGATGATTATTTCAGTATATAAGTAGAATTTCAAGTTGCCTGGCAGAAAAGCTGAAGTAATGATAACATAATGAAGCAATCTGCTTTATTTTCCAAAGGAAAATGAAATTTAACTTGTATATGGCTAAAAAAATGATTATGCATATGTAGGTGAACCGCATTGTGTTGACAGATGCTACTCAAGCACCAACAGCAGTATGCTGTAATGTGACCTTCCCTTCAGTGGGCATCTAGACGGCACAATGACAAACACAGAGGGAGCTTCGCAATGTCCTCCATGGCAGGCACCCCTCACTCTCGCCACCCAGGGCTACGCTGCGGGTTTTACACTATTAGCAAAAACACAGACTCGCTGCTATTATTGGCTTTAAAGGATGGGTGTAATGATCAGGCCAAGCAAGGTGGGTGGTACTGCCGCTTTCGAGGACAGCAATCGCTGCTCTCTTGTGCACAGCAGACATGAAAGGGGGTAATTAGCAGAATCGCTCTCTGTCAGGGGGAGTCCACTGGGAAGAGGGGTGTCATGGAGGAGTGTAATCCGGCACATGAGATCCCCAGCTAGCTCTCCCACTCTTGGCTGGTGATGTGCCAGTCCACCCACATGGCAGACGAGCCCTTGCCCCTGACTTCAAGCCAGCCTCTCTATTTCCTCACACGCCACATTCCTACCACTGTGTGCCGGAGGCAAGACGGCTGCAGCAAGCTTATAGATTAGCTACACGTGACCCGTTAGCTTAGGAAATCCCCCCTGTGCAGTGCTATAACTGTTCAGGCAGTGCATCATGCTACACTGAAGAAATTATCATTTATGATTGGATAACAAAATCCAAAGTGATTCTCCAAAATGATCTCATTTACAGAAACAGGGCTCACATATTTCAATTTAATATCTTGCTTAGTTCCTGGTTAGTCTGCATCTGCTAATATGTTTACAGATGTGTAAGTGGCTCGCTAGCAACTTCAGAAAGTCTAAATTAGTCCAATCTGCGAAGAACTGGATCAATCCAGTGCTTAAGTGTTTAGATTTAATAAAGACCTCAATCTTTAAAGTCCCTCAAAGGAGTAATCCTGAGCAAATGAGAATCAGTGAATGGAACTTCAAGATGTTATCTAGCAAAATGTATATTTGCCAAAGACATATTGCCAGTTCTTACTTTATTTGGGTACTGCGTGTCTATAAGTGGGCACTGATAGCTTTTAGAAGAAGAAAATATCAGCCCAGACAATCTTTAACTAGACCGCTGCAAGAGCAAAACCAGGCAGGTTTAAAGTACCCTAGGAACAACCCAGAACATCATGGTTTTTATGCCAGGAATAGATCAGCATCAGACAGCCCAACATTAATAAATTAAGTCATAGCCTGTGATTATGACTGTGAAACCAGCGGGCAAAGTGGAGACACAAATGAACAATATTATGACCAAATATCCATATAAACTCCTTGCAGGAGCCAGCCTCCTTCTCTGCTGATAAAAAGATAAATGCACATTCAGTGATTTTCCTCACTGAACTTTTTATGTATTTGAAAAATGATAAAGATACAGGTAGGGAAAGAGGGGAATGAGGAGATGCATTCTGTCTGATTGCATTGGGTAGCATGCAGAGTTACCACGACTAAGCGCATTTCTGCTCACATTTCACTTTCTTTTCACTTGCAAATATTTCTTCTTAAATTGCACAGCCTTAAACTGCGTCATTTGCACCTGCATCGAAGCAGGGTCATTATGTGCTGCAGGGAAGCTGGCAGTCTGATGCTCATTGATATATCCAGAGCAATGATTTCAGTCTATCATCGTTCAGATTAGCTGTCTGAATATCCAATTACCTAACGGTTTATATCATAAGCACATTCTTGGCTACAGATTTCGTAAATATATTCCAGATCGTAAACCAGGTATAATTGAAGTAATTTACCAGCAGTTTAACAGGTTATACTGGAAGCCCTATAGTTTGAAAATATGCATATATAATTATTAGCATATCTGAATGAAGTCCCATTGTGTGAAGAGCCAGCTTGCCCTGTGCCACCCTGGCGTGCCAGCCTTAGTATGCCCCAATCTGCACAGCGATTCACTGCCAGCTTTCAGCACCTTCTACTGCCAGTGCACGGTGACACCCTCTCAAGGACTTCATTAGGGCAAAAGGCTTTGCTTATTGGACACTTATGCAGTTCTCAAGGCTTTTACTTGGCTTATACCAAGTTTCTTTGTGACTCTGTGTCTAAACTTCCTACTCAGATGTGCTAGGGCATGAGGCTTAACTGCCACTCTTCCATTCTTTATGCTTGCTTATTTATCACAATATGTTTTTAATCTTCATATTCTGCAGTGTGGTATTTTACATTGTCCTTTGCACACTGCCAACTGGCTAGTGAATAGAAATATTAAATAATGGAGTCTAGTCTAGTCTAGACTCTAAGGAAGCATTTTTTTTATCACAAATATCATCATAATGTTAGATGAAAGATAAATAATTTAAGCCTAGTTGAGAAGCCTAGGAAAATCAACTATAGAACATTTTTATAAATAAATAAAAGAGAGAAAAATCAGCCAGACAGGAAGAACACAAAATAAAAGAACAGACATCAAAACCATGAAAATAAATTGTAGTAGGCCTCCAAAATCGAGCTGGAATTTGATATGTGTATTAGACTGAACCCATGGGGTCTGGTAGAAAACTCACCCCCGATAAGCATGGTACAGATGGAGAAGATCTTCTCAGAGTCCGTGTTGGCAGACACATTGCCGAAGCCCACGCTGGTCAGGCTGCTCAAGGCGAAGTACAGCGAGGTCACATAGGAGCTGCGCACTGACGGGCCGCCGCTCAGCTCCACCCCTGTTCGGTTCCAGTGACCCATGGCTGCCGTCGACGTCTGACCTGGCATCCCTGCACCTGTGGCATTCCATTGGCTGGCATTCCAGGAGTCCTGACCCCCTGACTCCACCCCGGTGGCATTCCAGTGACTGCCATTGGCTGCCAGCCCAAGTGCACTCGTGGAGTGCGGCGGGTCAGAAACTCCAAGCAGCGTGCTCAAGTGAGACAGAAAGTAGGGTGTGCCCAGCCTCTTAGCAAGCTCATGCAGCCAACCTAGAAGAGAGAGACACAGTCACCCGCTAACAGACAACAGATAAACACATGCATATAAGACAAAGAAAAACAAATGAGTGAAATGCTGTAATTATGAGCACGAAAGCAATTAATGAATAAGTCAACCAGCTTGAAGGAATGAATATGCAAACAAACTGCATAAATTCATTCCACAAATTAATCAAACCATATATGTTCTGATAAGACACAGTTGCGTCACACCTACAGGGTTTTGGGGTTACACTCCTCTTTTTGCTCTGGTTGCTCCAGTTTCCTTGCATCATCCAAAAACCAGCGGTTAGGCTGACTGATGCCTGTAAATGGCCTGAAGTGTGAACATGTACCCTGGCAGCCCATCCAGGGTATAGTCTTATGTCCCCCTCTTTGTGCCCCCTGCCAGAGATAGGTTCCAGACTGCTGCAGATGGATGGATGGATGGATGGATGGATGAATATACCAGCTACATTTTTCTGACCAGCAGAATGCTAAATGGTAATTTAAAAAGAGAATTTGGGGAAAAAAAAGATCACTATGGAGACTTGGATTAGAAAGTATTGTGTCATAAAAATACAACATTGAAAAAAATCTTTCAGTGTAGAAGTTACTTTTCTCTGTTTCAAAATAGGGTAGGATGTGTGCTTCAGTGAGTTAGGACTCATGATAGGAAGGTCACCGGTTCAAATCCTGCGAAGTAATATTACCTTGAGCGAGGCCCTTAACCCTAAATGCTACTGAGACTGGCCGACCCTGCTTCTACAACGAAGGTCATGATACAGAGGGCAACTTTTTTGAGCAATGTTACCAGGCAACTGCCAACCTGGTGAGACAAAGGGCGGCTCATCTCTATCTGGATGATGGCGAAAATTGCCAACTGCTGGTCCAAGGTTTTCAAATAGGTATTTGTGGCCCGATATCAATGGGAATGAGCCTGCACAACATTGCCCAGCAGCATCGCTCAAGAATTTGCCCTGTGTATCATCACCTTAAGATGTCACATTGGATAAAAGCAGCTGCTACAAAAATACATGTAAACAGGAATCACAGTTGTTTAAATAGCTGTCCGAGGTGCTGAAATGCAGTAGCTTAGCGGACAAGCATTCTGCTGCTATCCAAGGTCCTCAACTCGAATGACTCATATCAGAGGTGCATAGAAACTGGCTCTGGAACTTCATGCTACATCATTTTCCTCAGTCAATCCACTGCCCTACAATAACTGACTCTGGATGGGTTATTATGATACTGTTTGACTGTTTGTTTCCTCCCATGACAACTCGAGCCTAACCCACACCTACTTCGACAAAACTCTATTGCAGCTAATCGGAATTATGATAATGCCAGGCTTGAAGAGTAACAAAGAAAACCAAATTAATTGTTATATTATGAAATTGCCTACAGGCCAAGATCATAAAGTTCTTTAAATAAAATGCATGTACCTCACACTAGTTACCATTGTGATTAATTAACATGCATACTTTGTACTTTTGTTTTGCTAGTGTGTTCTGAAATAAAATGCTATATAAAATGCTATCAAAATATCAATACATTTAGTAATGTATGTAATATTATTAAATTATTCCTATCCCTTCTTAATCCATCCAATATTCTTATGATTCAGGGTCCATTTGAAAATTTAAAAGACATGGGAAGTACAGAGACATGGATTCAGGTATGTTCTCTGAATCTAAATGGGTCTGTAATGACTCTGTACAAGAAAAAAAAATTATCCAAACATTCCCCCAATGACGCTTGTTCAAAGGAGACTCTTTTCCTATTGTGATGGGATAATTATCTCTTCAGGGACCACACCACAAGTGTGAACAGTGCACAATGATGCAAGCTGAGCAGTTGTGATCAGCCTGTAGTATTAACACTGCACTCAGTGTCAGACAACATTCAGCCTGTTGTCGCTAAACTATGTGACTTAATACCTAAGCAAATATACGACAAGAGATTGTGGCTTTTCCCCCCCATAATCTGCTACAGCAATTGACATGCTGTCTTCCTCTCTGTTACAGATTGAATTTAGTAGAGCCTGGCTTGGGTAATCAATACATCTGCCACAGCTGTCAAGCCTCATAGACCCAAAAGAGAAGTAGAGCATGGAGGACAGGTGAGCAGCTGCCCAGTGCTGTATTTCACCCTTAGAGTTTATTATGGAGTGTTTCCATATCAGGGATCAACAACATAACAAATCCTGATGGACATTATGATAAAAATGCGATGTTTACTACAGAGCTGGTATTTAAAAAGGTAGCTTACATAGTTTTTCTCCCACGGACATGGATGAGTCTTGCCACAAACAAGACAGGTTCATGATCCCTAGTCTGTAACCTTGGGCGAATCTAAGATTCTTAAGGTCGCCATAATGGAATAGCAAATAAAGCCAGTGTAAATACCAGGGCAACTTTACAAGGGGAAACTGAAACTGGCCATAGCAATGAATAGATCAGCTAGTGTTACCGGTGGAGTTCTGCCTATACTCTGCATTGTGTTGTGGGTGAAGACAGGTGTGTGGGGTGCAGAAGAAAGGGATGAAGCAGACGCCGCTGTCGTTCTCGGGGTTTATTGAACTCTGTTGGGAACAGTTAGAGGGAGGATAAACCTCACGTGCTCAGGCCCTCTCGCTCTCTCTCTTCCCGCGTGTGCGGTACAACAAAGGGCTTGGAGAAACGCGCACATACATGGGAATTAATACAAAAAAAATAATATTAATAAAATAAACTAATACAAATGAAAACATACCTGTTGGGAACAATTAGAGGGGGGATAAACCTCACATGCTCAGGCCCTCTCGCTCTCTCTACACAAAGTAAAATAACGTGTATGCATATCATATATAGACCCCCTACTTATATTACATAATAAATCAACTGGTTATACTCAATAACTGATTTATTAACCCGAGGGACCCTGCCACTAGATCCTGACCTCTTCCCGCGTGTGCGGTACAACAAAGGGAAGAGGAAATGAGATTGGGACCCTTATAAAGGGGAAAAGACAGCGGGAGGGGAGGGGCAATGCAGGACAAGAGCATCATGGGAAAATTTAAGGGATATTGTACCCATCAGGTCAAACAAAAAAAAAAAGAAAACAGAATCTTGTATAATTATAAACAAAATTAAAATAACAACCTGTTACACTAGCTACTGCTGGGTAAGCATATGAATCACTCTCAGGCTAATACAGCCACACACTGAGGTTCGGAAGGCTGGTCAAGAATTCATATCATCTATAGCAGGGATGGGCAATCTTATCCAGAAAGTCTATGCGGGTTTTTGCTGTTATCCCGAAAACCTGCATACACACCGGCCCATAGCGGATAAGATTGCCCACCCCTGGCCTATAGCCTCTATGACACGTGATGCAGCTTCCCAGCCTTAAAAGTTACGGCCTATAATGTACCCGCAACTCTTACTTAATCAAAAGTTAGTGAGATGTGAATGCATTTCATAATGGAGAACGTTAGCTGCATGGTATCCAGCTCTTCTTTTAATACACCATAATCAGTATTTGTTAAACTTTAACAAAACTGAACAGAATGTGTTTTGTAGTTCAATCTATTTTTAATTTACCATTTATTTAAATAATGAAAATGTTCCTGGTTCCTTTCAAGAGGCAAAATCAAATAATTTGAAACATGTAGGCTTTAGAATGATGGTTTTGTTTGTTTAGTTTAATAAACTGCCCCAATTAAGAGAGAACTCAGCTGAACCCACAAACCAACACACACTAATTAGGAAACGCTAGTTTAATGAGACAAAATATAAGAGTGAATGGTTATGTCGACATGATATTATTCTGGCGGAGAAAGGTTTCTAAGGAGACTCAGATCTGGAATACTAGTCTGCTGTCATAGTGTCATGACTTATTGACAGAATTGTCTATCCTCATTCAAAATACAGGTAGTTAAGGAGTGCCCGGTGATGTAGGTATTTAGGTTCATTCTTAGACTTCATTTCAATTAGCAGCAACATTTCCCACATTCCTCTTTCAACCTTGGGCTACAGCTGTTGTAGGATGGAAAAAGTTTAATTATACCAGCTTCTGGCACCTCGCTATTGGCCGGCTGTAAGGCCTGGCAGTGACAGCTGGCTGTTACTACCACCCTGCATTATTGCCATTGAGAGAATGGCGGCAATACCGCACATCATCTGCAATTCCTCGCTCTCTGAGTGTTATACATGGGGAGGGAGGTAAAATTGTATCCATCACTAGCTAAACCGCATGAAGTTATAGATAGCCGATTCAAAACTGCCGGCATCTTATATATAAAGGTCAGTTTTTTGACCTTGTAATATCATATCTGTACATTTCACCTTATTTAATTCTCTAGGCATTTTGTAAACAGTACTTCAGTCATACATATCTTTATTGATTTAGGGTCAGATTTACTAAGCAGGGCATATTAGTGTGAGAGCACAATCCAAAAAAGCATCCAATGGGAGCGGCCATTTCTGAGGGTGATCTACTAAAAATGCGCAAATTAATGAACACAGATACAGTCAGTTTATTTAATCATTTAAATGAATCCACCAAGGGCAGCGCAAAATAAGATATGCCTTTTAGCAGTAAATTGCCCACTGCAGACTTTAGTAAATCACATGGCTTGATTAATTTAAATACTGTCCTCCCCAAGATTTTGCACTTTGTAAGGGAACACCTACAAATGCATATACTGCATTGCACATGCACAAATGCAAAATACGGCCAATTGTGTTGCCTTTTTGGCAATAACTTTTCACTGTGCATCTTTAGTAAATCTGGACAGTGCCGTTTTAAAACCAAAAGAGGGTTTGCACTGGCACAAACGGTCAGTAAATCTCACCCTTAGTGCTTTTAACCTACAATTGTAAGCAAGGGTGATTCTAGGAACTTGGGGTCATTCTAGAATCTAGGTGTCCCCCATGATAGAATCTGCCGAGCAGGGGTACAAAACATATTTTTTCTGGGGCTGAGACAAAAAATATATTTTTCAAACAGTAACTTGAATTGTGAGTCGAGGTCAGCACATCCTGTTCAGTTTTTGACTGATTATACAGTACCATCAAGATGGTGACAAGGAGGCACCAGCATAAATGTCCGAAAGCAGATTGCTGTATGATCCTTGAATTTCTCATACAATACTATTCCATTGTCCTCATTTGTCAGGCACTGGTCCATTTTGTGTAATACTTTTTGCAAATCTTTTGTTTGCAATCTGCTGCACCACACAATTTCACTGCCTGCAGATATAACACAAGAAGTCTGATTATACTGGACCAAATAGAGGCTGCACCTCTCAGAAAAACAATACAGCAGGGAGGGTTTCAGAAGAAGGAGTTAGGTGACCATGGTTTCCCTGTTAAATGCCTATATTTTACCCTTGTTATTGATGAAAGTTATTCATTAGTGTATTTTGGCTGATAACCTTAAGAACAGCATTCAGACATTTAATTTTTTTTCAGTGGTTTCTATATTCAGTCCACACATGCCCTGCAGCACAATAAACAACAGTTTCCTGCCTAGTCCCAGAGCCACATGGTTCTGTTTGCCACTCCGACGGAAGAAATTCACATACTGTAGACATCACCCTTTTTATTGCTCACAAGTCCTTAATCTGTATGCAGACACCACCTTTTAAAGATTCTTCATGGGTGCTGGAGAAAAATGAAGCAGCCTTGAAGGACCTTATAGCACTAGCTGAATGCTTCGCAGCTCAAGGTAACTCTAGGTTTGATTCCTGCCCCCTTTTCCATGTATGTGTGCAGTTTGTTTTCTGTGAGTTTGTGCGGGTTTCCTCTGGGTAACCCCATTTCCTGCCGCAGTCCATAAACAGACCAGCAGAATTCGCCCCCTGTACTGGTGCATTGAAATGTTGCCCGTGGCGTGGGAGTGCATGCATCTGAGCCTCCTAGGTGTAACCTGGAGTGTATGATTTATGACACACACTCCAGGCTCATTGCATCCCTGTCCAGGGCAAGCAATTTTGGGAGCTGGATGAATGATATATGTTCTGGCTACACAGCTCAATGCACAGAACCAGTTCTCACTAATACAGTGGGGCAAAAAAGTGTTTAGTCAGTCACCAGTTGTGCAAGTTCTCCCACTTAAAAAGATGACAGAAGCCTGTAATTTTCATCATAGGTAAACCTCAACTATGAGAGACAAAAGGAGGAAAAAAAGAATTTATTTGCAAATTATGGTGGAAAATAAGTATTTGGTCACCTACAAACAAGCAAGATTTCTGGCTCTCACAGACCTGTAACTTCTTCTGTAAGAGGATCCTCTGTCCTCCACTCGTTACCTGTATTAATGGCACCTGTTTGAACTCGTTATCAGTATAAAAGACACCTGTCCACAACCTCAAACAGTCACACTCCAAACTCCACTATGGCCAAGACCAAAGAGCTGTCACAGGACCCCAGAAACAAAATTGTAGACCTGCACCAGGCTGGGAAGACTGAATCTGCAATAGGTAAGCAGCTTGGTGTGAAGAAATCAACTGTGGGAGCAATTATTAGAAAATGGAAGACATACAAGACCACTGACAATCTCCCTCGATCTGGGGCTCCACGCAAGATCTCACCCCGTGGGGTCAAAATGATCACAAGAACGGTGGGCAAAAATCCCAGAACCACACAGGGGGACCTAGTGAATGACCTGTAGAGAGCTGGGACCAAAGTAACAAAGGCTACCATCGGTAACACACTACGCCGCCAGGGACTCAAATCCTGCAGTGCCAGACGTGTCCCCCTGCTTTAGCCAGTACATGTCCAGGCCCGTCTGAAGTTTGCTAGAGAGCATTTGGATGATCCAGAAGAGGACTGGGAGAATGTCATATGGTCAGATGAAACCAAAATAGAACTTTATGGTAAAAACTCTACTCGTCGTGTTTGGAGGAGAGAGAATGCTGAGTTGCATCCAAAGAACACCGTACCTACTGTAAAGCATGGGGGTGAAAACATCATGCTTTGGGGCTGTTTTTCTGCAAAGGGACCAGGACGACTGATCCGTGTAAAGGAAAGAATGAATGGAGCCATGTATCGTCAGATTTTGAGTGAAAACCTCCTTCCATCAGCAAAGGCATTGAAGATGAAACGTGGCTGGGTCTTTCAGTATGACAATGATCCCAAACACACCACCCGGGTAATGAAGGAGTGGCTTCGTATGAAGCATTTCAAGGTCCTGGAGTGGCCTAGCCAGTCTCCAGATCTCAACCCCATAGAAAATCTTTGGAGGGAGTTGAAAGTCCGTGTTGCCCAGCGATAGCCCCAAAACATCACTGCTCTAGAGGAGATCTGCATGGAGGAATGGGCCATAATACCAGCAACAGTGTGTGAAAACCTTGTGAAGACTTACAGAAAACATTTGACCTCTGTCATTGCCAACAAAGGGTATATAACAAAGTATTGAGATGAACTTTTGTTATTGACCAAATACTTATTTTCCACCATAATTTGCAAATAAATTCTTTAAAAATCAGACAATGTGATTTTCTGGATTTTTTTTTCTCATTTTGTCTCATAGTTGAGGTATACTTATGATGAAAATTACAGGCCTCTCTCATCTTTTTAAGTGGGAGAACTTGCACAATTGGTGGCTGACTAAATACTTTTTTGCCCCACTGTACATGCAGTTTACCAGTCCCTCGGAGAAACACAAGCAGCAGCTGATTGTGACACCATGGCTGACTTATTGATCCTAGCTTATCTTTTCTTATACCATATTATTATTGCAGCAATCTCAGCTGTGTTATTATGACCTGTAGTGAACCTCTGGGTTGTGGGCTGCAGAACTCGACAGCAGAGCTCTTCCACAGACTGCGCCACGTAGGAGTCATTCAGCACATTTTTACACATACATATTACGTTTTTGCTGCATTTAGCATGCTAACAACGTACCCACAAGTCACTTCAGTTCATAAGCTATTCATCAGCTCTTCACAAGCACCACATAAATGTCCATAGATGGTACACAGACTACTAAGGTCTCATGCAGCACATCATGTCCCCCATGTGCAGTGAAGCCACTGACCGATATCCCACGTGCCCGGGATGTTGCTCTCTATCTCACGACGGCCGATGAAGTACCAGACGCAGGCCATCCAGTGGGCGAGCAGGGCGAACATGGACATGAGCAGCGTCAGCACCACAGCACTGTACTGGGAGTAGCGCTCCAGCTTCTGCAGCAGCCGCAGCAGCCGCAGCAGGCGCACCGTCTTCAGGAGATGCACGCCAAAGTACTGCACAGAGAGGTCAGAGGTCACGGAGGGAAGCGCCATCAGGCCCTGTCACGTCAGCAAGTACATCTGTGGCAAAACCGCTCATCTATCCACAAACAGGGAGCTGGGAAAGACGCCAGGCTACAACTGGATATGGGCGCACCAGTGACGTCTGGTGGAAAAATCCATCTGATCGGACTCTTCCAGCATGTTCCCAGAATCACACTGAACAGAAATGTGTTACATATCTTAAACTAATTAATACACTACCAAGAAAAAAATAATGACTTAGTCATATCTGAGCGTAGTTCTTTTGATTCTCAGAATAAGCAGTAATGCTGTAATAGGCTTTGAATGGACATTAGTGTTAATCACAGCGCTTAATAAGCCTGCTTCCTTGCGATCATCAGTAACAAGACCTACTAAATCCAGGAGCATGCTGCAGGTGAGCCCCTGGGGGCTGACCAGCTTACCACGCTCACGTTGAAGGCGTACAGCAGGTCAAACGGCAGGGCGGCGATCAGGTCGACGAACAGCCAGGTGGTAGCATAGTGCACACAGATGGAACGGGCATCATACACCACCTGGCCTGACGTGCTCACGTAGGTGGTGCGGAAGTTCAGCACGATATCTGCGGCACACAGATACTATGCGAGTGTGTACGTCTCGACCACTTATAGCCAGACATGTAACGGTTTAATCAGGATTAAACATGGCTGTTAGATCATTAAGTCATCAAGAGTAATTCACCTGGGAATAAGAGATTATGTGATAAATAAAACCAACAGAAACACATATCAAGTATAGAGAGGCACAGGCAAGAAATACGAGCTGAGTTTAGTCTGAGTGCTGTACAGGGCATGTGTGTGGGCTGCACTTGACGTTTGAGATGTAATGTTCTTAAGTACATAATATCCTGATAAGTACCAGGCGTATGTTCTGCTATGATGGGAGTCAATCCTGGCAGCCAAACGTTCACCACTGAAACTGACATCTCATTCAGGCTTGCTATTACGGCAGAGCTCCGCCTTATCATTCCAAGCACATGGAGCTCCTGTTTGCATGCAGAGTCTGCTAGGGAGCTGGGGAGTCATATCTCTGCATGTAGGATCATTAAATTTCTAACCATGGATCCTCAGAACTGGGGCTTGTTTTGGCCCATGGCTAAAAAGATGTTTGTTTGCTGTTCTCAGTATCGTATATCCCTGCCACAAACCGTACAGCAGGATTGCTGTGGCTCACAAAGGTCATTACTGCTTGGGAATGACATTTTTCTTGTGAGAACATGTTATCTATCAACCACCTGAGTGACTTCATTAAGTCTGGATAATTGGATAGTAAAAACAGCAGCTTGATTCTAGCAATCACGGTGGTATGGCTGTAATTTTATAGCATAATAGTTATGGCAGCTTATGCAGCAGAAGTCTTACCCAAAATGAAGAGAATTTCCACCAGGATGTCACTGACGCTTGGGGGACTTCGGGAGGCGGAGCTTCCCTCGTCCCGCCCACCGACAGCAGTGAAGCACACGTTGTACGGTACAGTGACAGCCACGTAGAAGGTGGCTAGTAGAATTAACCAATCCCAGCCCGCCTTGAAAGTGCCATAGTGCAACAGGATGAATCGGGATTTCTGAATAGCTGCCACCTTGTACTCAGGAATGGGGGGCTTCTCCCCAAACATATTCTGTAGAATGACAGAATTGAGGGACGGAAGATTATGCAAAGCATATAAGCACAAAAAGCCACTTACACACACTGTACACAGATAGGCAGGCTCTCAGACATATGGATCACGTTCGTTAGCAGGTTATTCAGGTACAGAAAATGTCATAAAACTGTAAGGGTAAAGGGGGTCGATGTCAATGCAAATGGATATGACAGGTCTTGAGCCTAACAGTTTGAATGGGGAGTTCTGTGATCTGGGAGTTGGAATAAATGAAGGATCCCAGAGTAAGCAGGGGCTGAAATTAATTTGCTGTCAGTCAGTGTGTATGTTACTCACAGGCTAGTGATCAAAAGACTAGGATTTCAATGGTGTTTTGCTTTGTGACAGCAATTAACTTGTACCATTCAAGCACGTGATAGTAGGCCACACTCAGACCCTCATGGGAGTTTTGCTTACACAAATATGTTCTGAGGGCAGAAAGAAAAATTATTGGTTAAGAGCAATAACCAACCAGATTGTAGAGAAGGTGGGTCGAAGGAACTAGAGGAGGCAGGACCAACCTATCAAATGTCTTGGTCCTGCCTCCTGTAGTTGCTTGATCCCACCTCCTCTACAATCTGATTGGTTCTCTCTCAACCAATCATTTTTCATTCTGCCATCAGAACACTTTTGTGTAAGTAAAACTCCCACAAGCCATTCGAATAGAGGCTCACATTATTCAGCTTGAGCTTGCTCTTGTCCTGCTTCTGCAGGTGCCCCGACAGATGGTAAAGCACTGCCCGGCTACGGCGCCGGTTGGCATTGAACCCCGGGGGCCGTGTGACTCTGTGCACCTCCAGGCCCGTCTCTTCATCTGGGGAAGACAGAGATTCTGAGCAGGAAGTGTTTGTTAGCAGGGGGGATGACCGTGCCGCAGGATGTGGGGGTTTGATGTGCTCCCCACCTACTCATTTCTGTGACAGCAAAGAGCTCCCTCTCAGCCTTGCTCTCTGTCATTATCCCCTTCACTCTGTCCCTAATTCCATGAGAAGTGTGCAGTGAGGCTGGCAGATTGCTGAAATTGACTGTAAAACCAAAGCTAATTCTGATATTCAGATACTGAACACTCAACAACATTTTAAAAACGTGGCATGTTAAATCATTGTTTTGTGAAGTGCAGAATTTTCTACAATGCTGTCATATGCCACAAAATAGCATTCTATATCATTCCACTGTTGACGATTTCTGCTGTTTTCCGCCCATTTTTAGTCATTTTGGCTGGCAACTATAAATACATTTTCCATTTATTTGTAAGACCTTCTGTCAATACAAAAATGTCAGCTGTCTTTCCATTTCAACAGCCAGTTACTCAGAAAGGATTACCGTGTTTAATAGCTAATCATTAAGTATAACCTCGTTTACCCTTTAAATTCCCATTGCAGGAAAATCATACACAGTTTATAGCCTTTGATTATCCTGAACATTATTTCCCCTGTACAGTAACCCCCACTTGTACCTTTAAGTGATATTATTAATGTACAATATGTTCTAAAAAGGTTTATGTAAGTACGTTAATAAATTTGTACCAAAAATGCCTCTCTTCAGTAAAAATGATATTCATAAGGTCAGAATAAGCTGAAACCTTTTCAACAGAAATTGTAAAGAAAAATGTGCTGGTTAGGTTATGAACCATTTAGGTTCTTCACTTTTATGTCATCTAGTATAGTGTTTCTCCATCTGGTTCTTGGGGACCCCCAGACGGTTAACGTTTTTGCTCCCTCCCAGCTCAGTGCCAGACAGTCCACATTTTTGCTCCCTCCCAGCTCCCTGTCCCAGGGCCCCCGAGGACCATTTTGAGAAACACTGACCAAGTAAGACTACAGATGTAAACCCTGGGGTTTTGAAAAACACTAATATGCAGCAACAGTGCTTGGGGTGACACAGTGGCTGAGTAGGTTGCACTGTGGCCTCATGTCCAGGGTTGGGGTTTGAATCCGGTGTGTGGAGTTTGCCTCTTCTCCCTAATTCGCACAGGGTGTCTCCCAAAGACATGCAGTTTGTAAAAGGTTTTTCACCGTTAAACATCATTTGCAGTGTACAAGCAAAACATCTGGAAAATTGGTGACTGCTATGAAGTACAACAAATATGAACAGAAACAAGAAAACTACGAACAAAAATAACTAAATAATTAAACCCTCTCCGTGTAGCACAATTTGCCGGCACTTACGTAAAAGATGGCCCAGCAATAAGAGAGACAACAGCAGCCAATTATGTGCTAGGGTGATGAAAGGGCTCACTGAGAATCATGAACATTGCTCTCCATTACAGGAGCAGCACACCTCAGCTTCTGAATTAATTTTCGCTTTATGTAGTGCGTCAAGGCTCCCATCACTCAACACTTTTGAAAGTGGGAGGTTGTGATGGGATTTCTCCCCTATTCAGATTGAGTCAATACGTTAGTCTGACTTCCTCTGAATGTCTTTCAGGTCTAATTATCTCAGCACAATACACCTACTGGCTGCTGATTTGTCTTTTTCTAAGGTGCCTTTTCTCATCGTGGCAAAGTGGAAGCACAACTACAGAGGTTCGTAATTAATGCAGGTGCCAGTTATTGACGACTAAAATTGATGACAATAAATGAACCAGCTAGGGCTAAGTTTTGACAGTGTTACCTATGTCTTTGTAACTCCTTTCCCTTAGCCTGGCATCCTTAAAAATCCTTCTTTGGCACTCCTCTGCTAAAAACCAGTAATCAAACCATCCCTGTAGCCATGTTATCAGCTGCCTGCTTTCAAATGTTGTCCAATGGCTTTTCCTAATCATACCCCTAAGCTGCACTAAAGACAGCTGTGGCTAGATATCATCTTTCAGGCAATGTCAGTAGCCCTCGAGGCTTCTGTCCTCCATACAAACACCAGTATAGTTCAGTCTTCATTTCCTTGCCCTTCTCATGTATTTTACATAAAATTCCCTGCCTGTTTCCTCAACAAAACCAGTCTCACCCCCTACCTGACACCAATCTAACTTTGGTGTAAAACCCCCCCGCCCCCATGCCATAGCGCTTCCTTTTATCTGTGGTTTCCTGCCCCCCCCCCCCCCCCCCCCCCCCCCCCTACTCACCGATCTCGGGACCCTGCACAGAGTCCTGGTCCCTCTTGTTGTCCGTGATGTCCTTGTGGGAGACCAGGAAAAGCACCACCTCCCCCTTCTCATTCTTGATGGGCACGATATCCAGCAAACACCAGAACTCGGCACCTACCCATGACAAACAGAGGACACTGCTTACACACTTGTACACCTCACTCTGCATATGGATTATATATTTTTGGAACTTGTTGCTCAAAGGCTGCTGCACCTTGCTGTTGTTGGTATTTTGGGTTGGTTTTATGTGAGGTTTACGTGCACCCTGTTTATGTGCATATGTGCAGTACTTATAGATAAAGGTTTACCATTTAGACGTATTGTCATAGGCTGGAAATTGTATGTATTTAATCATCTTCTTCCTTTGATGTACACAATCTTCTCAACACTCGGAAAAGTCAAAGCATGCAGCTTTTGGTATAACCCTGCTAAAAACCAAATAATGAATTAAGCTACCACTAAATGACTCCAAAATAAGCTTAGGTGCAAACAACTGCCTTTAGAATTCACACAATAATATGAATCGAGTCTACCCTTGTGGATCTTTGTGCGTGAGGTCACATAATTGGGTGATAAATTCAAAGGAAAGATAACCGTATTATTCACTTTTCAAAACATCTCTGGGATGAACTAAAATATATGTAATTGCTTCTGCCATCTACACATCATCACACGTCATCCATCGCTATTTCAAGACAAAACAAGAGACTGTTCCTTAGGCGCTAAATCTTTCTTGGTATTTTCACTGACAAATGCAATATAAATTTAACAGTCAATGGATATCAGAAAGGAGGAACTAAAATATATGGAATTTCTTCAACATTTTCACAGCAAATTCTTTAAATGCAAAATGCCAGCCTCTGTGGTTATAGAAAACATCAGAATAAATATACTGGATTGAAGAATATGCTATAGTTATTTTTGTTCATGCAAGTAAAATATTAGAAGTTTCTCATAGAACTTGTTGCTGCTGTGTAGTAGTTATTTTAATGACTGTCTTCAATGCAGGAGTCTGGGTAATGAAGCTGATCCATGTTGTTTATTACCGCTGCCCTGCTGACTGCCCTCGCCAAGTTGGCTTCAAATTTATAATTAAGTGCATTAGCTCACAGTGCATAAAGGAAACAGGAACAAAGAGGATTAAGCTATGTGATGGCACATCTTTAAAGAAACCTTGTTTCAGCCTACAGCAGATTCCAAACCCTATTTAGCAGTGCAATGGCAAGTATTTATATACTGCAACATGGGGACGTGTAGGGCCAAGCAGACCTGGGTGCAGGTCCACAAGTAGGACCACAGCCAGAACACAAACCACCTCAACCTCCATCCAGCACAACCAGGCACACCTGCTGATACCTGCCCACTTCGCAGGAACCTCACTCTTTCCACCTTACTGGGCTTGGGATTGGTTTCTCAACTACAGAACACGTAAAGGATTGGTACTGGATCGGCCCTTTCTCTGAGCACTTAGTAAACGGTACAAATACAAATACGAAACACTACAAATGCCTGCTTCCTCCCTTAGACATATTGGCCATTGGCATTTAAACCAGTAAAAAACTATTAGAAGTTATAGTATAATGAAATGGGTGACTGCATCCTATAGAAGCTGTATATGTATGTGGTTCAAAGGTAAGAAAAACATTGGGGTGTCTAAGACTTACTCATCCAGTCATATCTTCTTCAAACCACAATGACGACTAAAATCCTAGACATGGACAAGACATGCAACCTTAATTGTGGACACTATTAATTTAATCAAAAGAAACAACCCACAAAAACAGTGATGGAGAATTAGCTGAAATTCACATTTTAAGAAATTTAATCATTATACTTAGTATAGTAACAATAACAGCAGGTCTTGAGTAATATATATCTGGCATATTCATTTTGCAAGTTGCCTTCACCTTAAAATAGAGAAAACAAACAACAAACATGTCCTTGTTTTACAATCTGTGCAGGAAGGGAAGCACATGTATAACATGGAAGACAGTGCTTTTGGGCTATTTCATCATGGAGCTCTTTGTGTGGATGTTCTCCAAGCATGTGACTCACAAGAAAGGAGTAAGCATGCAGGATGAATTCCTCTCACTGTGCAACCCACGTCTGCCTGGCGATGATCAAACACTACCATAATTTTATGGGATTGTGGACAGGCTGTCGATGATGAAGGCTGCTTGAGGTGTGTTTGTGTACTTGCAGAGTGTGTGAAAATGTATATGCTAGCATTTCCTGCAGCGTGTACATAGCTAGTTGGCAATGTGGAAGATCTTTTTCATCATTTATCCCAAAAAAGCCAGACTATTAAGTGTCAAATTATTATTATTATTATTATTATTATTATTATTCTTTTAAAAAATTCTTGGACTAAAAGGTTTGACGCATAAACCAAAGAAAGCATTTGTAAACTGTAGCGTGTATTTAAGTTGTGGCATTCATCTCAAACAGACAAATGCAGAAGAAATTCAGCAGCTCCAGTTACACTAATCTAGTATGCTCTTTGAAACGTCTTAGGTGTGTGAACTTCAGTCCCGTCCATACTAAGAACCATTGTATTAATTTTTTTTTTTTGGACTGAGTCTGATATACAGTATTGACAAGAATGATACTAGGGTTAGACAGTTCATGGCAGTTGTAGGGATTATTAGTTCTATCAAATTCAATAGGAATCATTCTGACATTGTGATTCTACTTGGTCCTGATATTCTGATTTTCGAATGCTAAAATTCAAAATTCAATTGTTAAAATCCAGTGGTTTCAGCGAAATTCCTCCCAAGGGCATTGTTTGACATTCAAGCTTGACTGGATTCTCTTGTCAGCAGTAAAAATGTGCTTGTCCGTTACTAATATTAAATCCCAGTAATCCCAGATATTACTTTAGCATAATGTGTAAAAAAGCTCTAAAAAGTAACCAAACTGTGTGTCTCCTAGCAGCATTGCTTCCAGTCTTAGTGTGACTTCCAAAGTAGCTTTGTCAACAACTCGGATAGTTTTCAGAAGAGCTTAAATAAGTGAAAACATCTTCATTATAACTGATGGGAATTATTAGCATTATCATTAAAATTTGCAAAACTTCAACTCTCTGACTATTCTGAGCAATGACCAGGGCCCAGCTCTCAGATCTCTGCAAGCTCGATTTCAGTTCAGACAGGCAGATAGAGGTCAGATTTGAGTGCTTGGTGCTGGAACACTTTCTTTTTTTATAGAATTATTAGGTAGTATTTCACAGTAACCTTATGAACCCCTATAATATAGACTTGAACCCTACGTGGAGCTGCATTGTCTCTCTACATATTCTCACTGGGGACTGTTTTTTCCACTATATGCAGCCACTTGGGAAAATGTACCTGTCAAACACACCTGGTAACATTCCCAACATAGCATCCATGAAAAACTGCTTTGGTAAAGAAAAAAATGATAAAATGAAAAAAAAAATGTAAAAGAAATATATTAAAAACTGAAGGTCGATTACAGTAACATTGCTACTGAATCTGGAACTTGGAATTTAATAGAAATTTTTGATTCAGTCCGGTCTTTAATACTTAACCCATGTTTCCTCCAGAACAAATTTAAGAGATTTCTTATAGTGAAAGATACAGATTAGAACATGCAATACATTATAGCAGTCTAGATTAGTACGAAGACAGTGTCAGAGCAGGAATCATTCTGTCATGACCTGCTCGTACGATCCTCGTGTGTGCCACGCCCCCTCATTACCTACGCGTGCTACCCCGATTGTGATCACCTGTCGCCTGTTATTTTCTGCTTGTCTTGTGTATTTAGTCCGCATTCAAGTCTGTTTCCCCAGGTTGGTCATTGACGTAGTTTGTGTGTGCTCCCCTTGTGCTGTCTGCCTGGAATAAACCCCATTATACCCGTACTTACGGCTCTCTCGCTTGCTTCCCCGCTCGCCCGCACGTTGGTCATTACACATTCCTTAAGCAATGTCCCTTTATAGGTTTAATTTTTAAACCTAGACTAAAGGCCTTGTATTGCAGTCTAGCCTGATTTAGCTATCCTGATTTAGCTATCCTTAACTAATGCTGTTGGTGTTTATGTACTGTATGGCTCTCATATCTTAATATCAGGACGCCATCTGTATCTTCCTTCTCCACCATGCCCGAGGCGAGCGTTAGCTGAGTATGAGCTGCAACTGACCATGACCCACACCAAAGGTACAGTGCAGCCTGAAGCAGATAAAACAAGCATGATGGCGACAATAACAAAGAGGCCCACAAAACACTATGAGTTCTAGCAACACATACAGTATACAGCAGGGATGTTGGCAGAGGCTGGACATTTTTCCCCAGTTTGCAGCAATTGGTTTTATTTCCTACACTGGCTTTTAGGTGTAATTTTGACATACCTACGTAGTATCAAAGGTTTGTGCTAGATGTTTTTAAGCAGGCATATTATGGGTCACCAACATCACATCCAAAAAGCTACATTTCATGGACACCTGCTGCCACCCCTCTGAGAGGCATCAGTCTCACTAGTACTTAAAAAAGGCTCCCCTCATCCGCTCTAGCTACAGGCTGATTTTCCTCTTACATTTCAGCAAAGTCCTGTCTCTTCGTCTTTTAGAGGCTCTGCCTGCTTTAATCGCTTCAGAACAATGAGGCTTCATGTTGGGAAGGCAGTCCTTCCACAGCACCAGGAGGCTACATAATATCTTCTTCTCCCCCTAATTCTGACTTGCCTGAAGGTGTGGTGTCTCTAGATGCTGAAAAACAGGCTAGAATGGAAATATTTGGTCTTTGATCTGGAAAAATTTGCCTTCGGCTCTAATGTATATCATTAAATACGTGGGCCTCTTTGCAGACTTGTCATAACATTCATTGGTTTATGCTTATCTATAAAACTCTTCTTGGCTATTCACCCCCTTACCTAATTCAGTTATTACAGACAATCTCCTTGACAACATATAATACTTGGTCTTCTTCTTATATTAGAATAAAGCCTCTTAAACCTAGCGCTTTCTCTGGCCTGTTATCATTCCAATCTGCTGCTGCCAATGACTGGAATTCATTACAGAAATCTTTAAAACTGGATAAATTATATCTGTCATGGCCTTCAAAGGCTTACTTATGAATTGTTTTAATGACACTTATGAATATTGAATCATTCTGTTATGGGTTTTATTTTACTTTTATTTGTTATTATTATTTATTTTCATTATGTTTTGTTTTTTATGTATTTTTTTCCATTTTCGTTTTTGTTTTACAAGTGCTTATCATTGTAAATAAGAAACTGTTCTTAATGCTTTGACTGGTAAAATAAAGGATAATGAATGAATGAATGACTGGATTTGCCTACTTTACACCTGCCCAGTAGCGTCTGCCCAGTACTACTACCATGGCAAACGCCAAGGCTGTCCTCGTTTTCCCAGCCCAGATATTTGGCTCTGCAGTGAAGAAGAATTCAAGGGCATCACCTGATTAGGTTTCACAGATAATCTCTCCCTTCACGCAGACACCTACCTCCTATCACCAGTCCCACCACCAGTCCCACCACCAGTCTCCCAGCAGTCCTTAAAATTCTGTATCAGTTTTTTAACATGCTTAGGGCACAAGTTCAGTTTTCAAATAATCAAGCTTCTCCCCATTATAAAGATCTCCTGCAGTCTTTGTTATCCTTACACTGAGTTGCAGATGCCTAGGAGTATTAATCACTAAGTCATTCATGGATATCTTTGTAAAGATCTTCCACTCATACATAGATTAACTGAAATTAGACTGAAACAAGATGTGTTCCCCTCACCTCATTAATGGGGAGAGTCAATCTGATCCAAATGGTTGTTCTACCCAAATGTTATATATCATTCATCACATTCCAGTTCTATTAATAAAACATTTCTCTTTATCCCTTGAATCAGCAGTTGAACACTTCTTTTGGGCCAAAAGACGAGCACATATATGCAGAGCAGCTCTCCAATTCCACTAGAGAATGGGAGGCCTTTTGTTGCCAAACAAATAGGAATGGCCAATAGGAACGGCCTTCGGTATTGCCTGTAATATCATCTTGCTAGTCTTCTGGATTAATAATGCAGGTGTTGCACACCCCCTCTGTGGTTATATGCTAACATGCCCCTGACAGTATTCACTCCACACAGTTACCCCTCACTGCCAAAAACATTACCGACAACCTGAATGTTATCAACACCATCAAAATATAGACCCAATATAGGAAGCATTTTGCCCTGCACAGATCCTCAGCTCGAGCCTCAGTCCAAAATGATTACTTATTTCCTCGATCTTGCTGTTATCCACCCTTTCCCTTATGGTCCAGTAATGGCCTTGCTACTATCAGTGACCTCTATAATGAAGAGGTTCTCTCTTCCTTTGCTGACCTGTCAGATAAATTCAATCATCCTAAAACCCACCTTTTGCTTTAGTACAAAGGCCAGTTTCCTCAGTCCCCCAGTCGCCCCCCAGACTCCAACGCTGATGCTCTCTTGTCCCTGCATGGCCGTCAAAAGGGACTATTTATGAGTCTACTTCAATTCTCCAAAGTGCACAGGAAAAAGACCTAGGATGCGATTGATATATATCTAATGAGAAATGGGACCAGGCTTTTGACTTGAAGTATAAATCTACTGACCTCATGCATGTGTTCTGGCCCTCTCTGAATTTTGGCCTAAAGAATCCAACACACTCCCAAGTGTCGTAAATACAGTCATGACCTACAATCCCCTCACTGCCCTATTTTTAATACCTCCTGAGTCCAATATGCACACAACTACACAGCATGTTTCCTACCTTCAACACCTTACTTATTGATTTGTTTATGGATTTATTCTTTATTTGTTTATTTATACTTCTTCCTCCTCCACCCTCCCATGTGGTGTCTGAGGGTGTGGTTTGAGCAGGGGTAGGTGGGGATGTGGCTGGCGATGTCGAAATGGGAGAATTCATGTCGTGAGGTATTGGGTAGGAATTCAGAGGTGGGTGGAGTCTGGTGGGAATTTTTAATAGTAATAAACTGTTCTACTTGTTTATTGTTCTTTTCATATGCCAGTACAAAAGCACACTTCCATACCTCTCTGAGGTGTCTTTAGCACAATCCCTGATGCCTTGTGCACATTACCCTTCTCTTACTTCTTATGGTGCATTTGCAAGAACTAAATTGTGTTGCTTATATGTCACTTTCATTTCCTATCGATTTTTGTTTGTCAATTGACTAAAACAGCATTTCAATGGTCATGAAGCGAACAGCACACAGCTTTTTCTATTGCAAGTATTCAGCTCTTAAGCTGTTTTTTGTTTTTTAGCTGAGCATGAATGTAACCAAATTGCATCATACTACAATAAACCAGGATGCAGTTGCTTGTTTTCTACTTCACTCAGAAAATTGAGTTGGGATGTTAGTTATTGGCTGGACATGCAGTGCCCAATTCATAATAAACAATGAAATGTGCAAACCCAGGCTACATATGGAAGTTTTAACCAATCTAATCCAGTATTCTCTGTTCTTGCGTCAACCAGAATGTATTGGATTATTTAATTTACAAATGGTATAGTACATCTACCTATAAGGGTTTAGAATACTGATATCTGTAAACCATAGACACCAAAGGCTCACTTAGAACTCTACAGCTAAATGATTTCTGCTGAAACGACGAATGGCTGAAGTTCCTTACTTAATACTGTCTTATCTAGAACCTTTTTAACAAATATTTTACAGATTATGCAAGACATTCTGCTGTAAGACTCACTGTGACTGTATGGCAACGTGGTGTTTAATTATTTGGTGTGACTCCAGCATACCCAAGATGAGAGTGCTCTCTGACTGATGGTTCCTAGTATGCGGTGAGGCCAGGAACATCATGCTTTGTCAGATTTTGTAACAGCAAACACTTTAAAGGAAACACAGACCTTCAGGATGTGCCTTGCTATCACTTGATATGGCTTGACAATGGAGAAAGGCCAGGACAGGCATATTGTCTATGCTCTTTTGTAATATACTCCCATTGCTCTCTGGCACAGTCTCTCCTTTCTGTTCTCAAAAGACACGCTTACAATTCCCATTTCTTTCACTGTCTTGAAAAAGACCAGTCTTAAATCCCTTCTTTTTCTATTTTCCTTTTCTACTTCCTTTGCATGCTTCTTTGCATACTATGCATTATTGCATTATTGATCAGATCTTACCTCCCTTCTTGTAGAAAATTAGCTCCATCTTGAACTCCCTGCGATCATCCAGTGCCCCCTGGATCTGAGCTGTCAGCTGGTCACTGGTCTCAGGCCCATACAAGAAGTGACATGCACAACTCTTTTGCATCAATTCCGCACGGGCGTAGCCTGTTAGGTCACAGAACCCGTCGGAGCAGTACACAATCGGGTAGAGAGACTGGACCTGGGCATTCCCCAGGACAAAGTTACTGTCTGTGAGAGATAAAGAGAGATGGAAAGACAGAAAGAGAGAGAGAGAGGGAAACAAGGAGAGGTACAGTCGCATTAGATGTTGAGTGGTTGCATTCTATTAAGATCTAGTATATCACAGATTTAGAAACATTATTCCAATTTAGATGGCAAAACTTCACTTCAAACAGAGAACAAGGTCACAGAGTGATGATGGGATCAACCTGCACACAGATAATTACTAAAGCCACAGACAGGTAGTGGCATCCATCCATCCATCCATCCATCCATCCATCCATCCATTTTCTGTAACTGCTTGTCTTATTCAGGGCCGTGGGGGGGTCCTGAGGCTATCCAGGAGGGTATTGGTGCAAGGCAGGGAAGAACTCAGGATGGGGCGCCAACCCATCGCAAGGTGCACTCACACAGCATTCACAAGTAATGGCATGCTTCTAGAATTTTTTTAGACATACCATGGAAGTTGATTCACCAAACTTAAGTATGTAAGGGGTATAGTATTCAGAGAGTTACAATGTAGGAACTGTTTAATTCACACCATTTTAACCCTAACAACTTTGTTCGGTAGCCAACTACAGTCTAAATTTACCAGACACTCTTTCTCTTGGCCGTTCCTATTAATTAGTGTTCAGAATGTGCAAAGAACAGGAAGCCTTTAGATGGAGTCCATGTTTTTGATCAGGACTACAGGCCACAATAACAGCGATAGTGCAGAGGCGAAAAAACAAAAATACGCACAAGAGATTAAATCCTGCTCAGAAACAAGCACCAGAACTGGAAATATAATACAGAAGTGTATTAAGCTGCCCCTGAGGCAATAGATGTAGAGATTTTGGTTCATACACTCAAAAACTAGTTTCTCTATCAGTTAGCTTGACATTGATGGTACTGGAGTTCTATTCAATATTTTGGCACAACTACCCTTATAAAGGGTTTATGAATATTTATAACCAGGTTATGAATTAGGTTGTAACACTTCGTAAATCATTAATAGACAATTATAAAAAAAGTCATGAGTTTTTTAAATTAATGAGTTACTACCGTCTCTATGTTGCAAGAGGGAAGCTTATTCTAAAGTGGTACTAACACTTCAACTCCAAATCATGTTTGACTGTGGACCATCAAAATCCAATCTCAAGTAAGACCATTTGAAAAATGTATTTAAGCACAACAAAGAGCTGCCTGGGAAAAGGATGGGAAGTGAATTCTGGGAGGGGGGAGGTTTTTAGAGACACGGCTGTGCTTTTGCTGCTGATGACACAGAGGCAGCTGATCTGTGTGAGAAAAACGGAGAGCGACAGTGACTAAGTTGCAGAGATAGGAGTGACAGGCCCCCTGCATGAAATTTCACAGAGCAGCCATTGAACATACAGCAGACTATCATAAGAACAGTTCACTTGCCGCTTGCATTCATGTTATTCTGGAGGAGTTATTCTGCCGTCTATTTTTTACAGTATGCTGTGAGAGTAAATTTCCCTTCTCCAATACTTTGTACATATAATCCCACCCAAAACACATAATCAGCATGTATTGAACAAGCAGCAACATTTGCAGTAATTAATGCTAGGTTGGATTTTTGCCAGTAACTCATTACGTTAGAGTGGTTTGTGGAAAATTCATAATGATGTGGTGAAATGGAAATATGACCAACAAGTAAAATATTGACAGCAGTGATACAGTCATTCATCATAAACACATCAAACAGCTTGCAGAACCTTTGATCGCTGGTCGCTACAATTTTCATTGCTGGAAGCGCTGCTGCAGACGCCTCTATTTTTCCAAGAGCTTTTTTGTATTTTCTTTTTTGTATCATCAGGGCTCATTTACATATCATCTTTTGCTGGAGTTCCGGTAAGCCATTCACATTTCTGACACTTGCAGATTATTTGTGATTCTTCGCAATAAGGAGCGAAAAAATATTTAGGAAGAAAGTGATCAATCAGGCTTTAAAATATATGCACATTGACAGAACTTGGTTACAGTGGGAAATTAATCAACAGACCTTTATTGATTCTGACATACAGGAGGGTCAATGGTTTCCCTGAAGGGAATTGTAAGGGGCTTTAACCTGATGATCATGGGGAGGATGGAAGCCAGCCATCCATCCATCTATCCATCTATCCATCCATCTATCCATCCACACTGCTTGTTTTATCTGAGAAGCTACAGTATGGACCCAGTGCAGGAAAAAATCCAAGACAGAGTGCCAAACCCAGTGCAGGGCATACACACACACCATTCACACACACAGAATTTAGCAGCTGTAATTAAACTTAGGATGTTTTTGCACTGTGGGGGGAAACTGGAGGAGCACAGGGAGAACATGTGGACTCCATACACGCAGTGCTGGGGCAAACCCTGATCCTAAAGCTGTGAACAACAGTGTCACTGTGCCGCCCAGGAGGGAGGCCATGTCAGCCAAAGTGGTAACATAGTGTGAACATGTGTTTACAAACAGCAAAATAAAGACTGATCCATTCATTCTCCCTGCCAGGACAAACATAAAGCTTATCAATACAGGTTTTTCGGCAACACTTTACTTGAAGCAGTCTACATAAGGGTGACATGAAACCGTCATAAGGATGACATGACACATGTCATGCACATAAATGACACATTATTGATGTTTATGACTGTTGTCATAATGTGTCATTCGGTTTTTGGAACTGAATGACACATTATGACAACAGTCATAAACATCAATGATGTGCATGACATGTCATGTCATTCTTATGTCATTCTTATGACGGTTACATGTCACCCTTATGTAGACTGCTTCAAGTAAAGTGTTACCGCTTTTTTCTCTTTACCCGAGCACTGTGTAGCTCAGAGGGTTACAGAATGTTGTGGGTTCAAAACCCCTGGCCAGCAGAGTAGTCATAGCACTGCTTGGCTCTTAAGCTAGACTCTTAACCAGAGCTGGCCAAGGCTGTTAGATGCTGGCTGCCCCTGCTCCCTGTTCCCAAGCTTTCCATATATGTCCATTGCTACATGTTCATTGCTACATGTCCATTGCTTTGGACAAAAGCATCAGCCTATGAAATGTGAATGAATGAAAGGTAGAGGCAGAAAATGGACAATCTATAAACTAAAATCTTGACTTGATTATCAGAGAGCACACTCAAATCTCTAACAAATATCATTTATTTAGAGAAAAACACCGGAATATGGGTCACAAAGGCTTAGGGAATTAGTTTTTGGTTTTGTATCATTGTGGTCCTCAAAGTTTGTCAAACGTAACATTTAATGAAGCATCACACAACCTATAGGGGGAGATCTGTTAAATTCTTTGTTTCCTGTTTTAAAATTGAACTAAAACATCTACACTAAAGCTCATAGACTGTAAAAACCTACTCTGGAAAAATATTTGAAATATTAATTTAATACTTGGTTGGAATACTTTATGGTTGTGATCTACAGTGTGTGTGTATATATCTTTATTTTCACAAAACTATGAGAACCCTAATGTTTTAACAAAACCCGGTCCTTCATTTCATGTTTTGATAAAAGTTGATCTGTTCATGTGAACTTGCCACCAGTCAACAAGCATTCACACCTGTTTCCCTTTGTCTCCAAAGACTTTTTTCAGCATTTTATTAGTAAATATTACAGAAGGTGCTCCAGCAACAACCATATGATGCCAGTTTACACAGGAATGTAGCTGCATTAAGTTTCATTTAATTGTAGTGCTTTAATTCTAACTGGAGTTACTGCCAGCCTGTTTATAGTCTGAGACATGACTAGTCTTCATCATAGCAGCTAATGATGATCGCTTCAGAGAGGCTTGCTTCAGATCTTAGGGTGCCCCCCCCATCCTTCCTCTGTGTCTATTTTCCCATCTACAATATCAGTCCATCATGGATGTTTTTTGGATTCAGGACTGGGCTTATTTGCTCTGAACGGTGCCCACAATGGCCAACGTGTTTAGGAGATCTGCCACTATATCTGTGCATTTACTGTTTAATTGTTTGTGCTATCGGGCAGTTAGTCAAGTGGCATCGTGTCTATTGACCGCTGGCGAGTACGGAGGGGGCTGCAGTCCTGGGGGGGGGGAGATTGTGTCGAGCAGCATGGAACAACTGGAGCTGTATAAGATGGATTCCCTGTGGCTGCTGCCTCCCACTTGGAGCTCAGTCACTCACCCTGTGACAATTCGCTGGCATTTAGCTCGCCAGGAGGCAAAGCTATTTCAGGGCCCCACATAGGGCATGAGGTAGATAAGCTCCAGGACAATGGAACATGGCTAGAAATGCCAGCCACTTAGAAATGGCTTGCCACGAATGAATTAGCATGCCCTTTGAGCAAAGCGGGCTTGCTGAAAGCTGGTCATTTGCTGACCCTGTCTATAGGCGGGCTGGCCATGCAGCTCAGCGGTGAGATTGCAGAGCTGCCTTGCAATGGCATCACTGCGGGCCAGCTGCATGGCCTTGATGAATAAAACAACACATCTTCAATGGCAGCAGCACACAAATGATAATACCCCCCTTACACTGGGTGGGTGGCAGGTAAAATTATCATGCCATTTTCCATCCTGATCAATGAGAGCTTTTCTCTCTTTTCTGCAACTCTGAGCAGCTGTTATGGTTCTGATTGCACGGCCCTACTACCCCCCTCCCCCCACATTTATCTATTTATGATAAAACCAGCCTCCACTTGGGGTGCATTTGCTCCCTTCTGAATTCTAGCCTTGCAGGTGCCTGCAGTCTGCGGAATTACACCATACCCATGGAATTAGCTTTATGAATATTGCATGTCCACTGGGTGGGCACACATTAGCACACACACACACACACACTGAACACTTGCCAGTCACTTGTATGTTTCTTTGGACAAAAACATCTGCCAAATACTGCCAAAGACTTTCCCACTCTTTGGCTCATCCTCTGAACCAAGTAACAACTTAGAATCCCGCCTGGATCTTGAGGCCGTGGTTTTTTTAAACAAGTGTCACACTTAAGCACGTCACCATCACTATTAACTATATCTGCACTAGTACTTAT